CCAAATCTTGAGGAAACAAGGCTGTCAGAATATTGTGTGGAGCAATCAGATCACTGGATAACACAAATTTAAATATTAGGGAGAACTCTTAGCAATTTAAACTATAACAAATGAAACATGATTTTGCCAAACATCAAGAATCAATACCAGGGGCGACCAGAAAGGGGGCAGTTGAGGCAACTGTCCCAAGCCTAGATGTAACTGGGACACTGAATTTTTTCATTAAAAAAGAAAAGAGGTATTTATCTCAAATCCAAATTTAATGCTATATTTATTTGTGATGCATCGAAAAACCAATTCTGTTTCTAAAATTGTAAAAGGAGGGAAGTTTTTGTTTGAAGTAAGGGGCATCATTTGCAATCATTCAACTGCCACAGAGTCCTGGTTTTCTCTAGGCGCCCCTGATATATACACATAGATAAATCAGATAAATATGTACTTCAGGACACCTCCATTTAATTTACCAATTAAAAATATGGAAATAATTTATTAATGTCAATGACTGAGTATAATACTTTGCATTCATGAGGATATAAGCTTGGAGGTTAGGTGATAGAATGCTTTTTTCTCATGTTAAATAATTTGCTTTGAAAAATGGAAAAAGAAAATTGAAAAACAAGTAAAAATATATTGGGTTGAATGTTGAATGCATGCAATGCAGTGGGATGAATTTATTGGTTAATTTATGATTCTTACCCTGCTGATACTCCGTGGACAGCCTGAACTAGATTCACTCTAATATTCACAGTCACAACGTGAAGATGCATCAAATACTGAAAACTCAGGTATAAACTGTTGTTATCTGAAATTTGCAAGAATGTTTATTAAATTTGCAACAAAATTATTTTACACACACTTTCAGGGGTTTCTGAAGTTAAACTATTTAAATGGTTCGACCTTGCAATTTTATGTGAATATCAACAGTAAGTGGATGTTTCATAAGTAACTTCTTTTTCCTTTCTTCCAACCGATCGACTTTAGAGAGTTTCCGATGATGACGAGTCTGGCAGTCCCCAGGTTCCTGGAATGAAAATGCCTTCTTTAATAACATTTTTTTTTTTTTAAATTCTGTTTTACTACATGCTAATTCTGGCACTTCTTACTTCTTGATCTGAATCAGATTCATCAAAAGCAGACGTCTCTTCAAGGGAATGCTTAAGGAGGCGAGCTTCTTCTTCATCTCCACTGACAGAGACGGTCATCATGCGATCTTTACATAAACAAATATAAACGTCAGATTTACAAAGACAATTGATAACTAAATATTTTAATACTTCCAAGACATTTTTTAACTCTGTATACTTTGGATGGAATTAATCTGTACTAATAATAATAATATAATAATAATAATAATAATAATAATAATAATGTTGTACCATTAAAATAAGTGATTCTTTCAATTTTCTATCTTCCTACTATGACAAACAAAACTTATCTTTATTTCCCACTTATTTAGAATATGTGAATAATTTAAATGCTTAAAACAGGCAACAAGCACCGCCCATCTTTTGTCATACAATATATGAATGAGTGGCATGTATATCATTTTAAGTGAGTAAAAGAAAAAAAAATATTATAATTTTTAATGCAGTTCTTTTACTTAGAAGATACAAATCTAATCATACAACATAAGATTTTTTTATCCTTTTGGAAGTGTTTACAAATAGGAAATAACTTGCAATTTAAGGAATGTCCATGTTCCAACAAACTTGCTGGCATTCATAAGGGATTTTCAATACAAGTGCTTTAAAAAAGCAATAATTTTTTATTTTACATTTTACCTTATAGAACAAACTATTTTACCACCTGACACTTACCACATGCTTCTCGGTAAGCATCAACTTGAACATACAAGACATATAGAGGCTTTGGCAGAAGATAAGCTACTTGATGTTGCTTGCGTATCTTATCTAAAGGAAGTCCTAAATAATCCTGCAATGGTTTGGTAACCTGAAAGAAAATATAAATAACTGAACTAATGTTTCAAAATTATACATAGCAATAGGTACTGATAATATTAATGTTTAATTATGAAAGTAGCAATAAAACCACTTCAAAGTCGATCCTTTTCACTCCTTCGAAAAGTGTATACTTTAGAGAAAAGTATCGCTGGCAGATGCCCAGAAGATTCATGAATAGATAAACAATACAAAGGGTTTAACTCAAAGTAAATGAATTTTTGATAAGTTACAATGGACATAATTAATAGATAAACACAAAAGTCATTAATTAAAAGAGCATTACATAATGATGTATTATTTATAATTTTTAGAAAGCACAACACAGGCTTCTTTGTCCGATTGTGTAAATACCTCAAAGCCCCACACAAAGACTCTTCAATACAGAATATATTTTCAATATATATTCTCATATTTTCAGACAACTAAAACAACTTCAATCTAAATTTGCTTACCTCAAGTATACTTTTGAGCTGAGGAGTAAGATTTTCAAGACGTTCTCGCTTGCTTTGAATCTCAAGGGCCACTTTCTCCTTGTCTGCCTGTAGCCTGTGACACATCGCAGCCAAGTCCTTGCGTTGCTCCAGTTCCCACTCCAAACGTGCCAGTTTCAACTGATGTTCATCATTACGGGTAACATTCTACACAAAGAGTAACCAACCCAATTAATGTCAACACCACATAGGACAATAAACAGTATTTCAATAATTCAAATTCACCGACATTTTTTTATTTTTAGATTCTTCAAATACCAGGAGACTTTTTCTATGACTATTTGAAGACTACACGGGAAAAAAATGTTCTTTATCCACTATGTTGATAAAGATTTATGTTCACAAACTGTTTGATTGTTAGCAAAAACTTTTCTTAAATATGAAATAAATATCTGCTGATAACAAGTGGACTATGCAAGATCTTTTCTCTTAATATAATTGCTTCTTAAAATCCTTCTACGGAAAATGTGGCTCGGGTAAAAACGAACAGAACAAATTTTTTCCCAGGGTTCTTTATTCATTATTGTGAGATCCTACTCTTCCACACCAGATAAAACAATGCTGAATAATCTAAGGAAAAATATCTTGAGAATGATTCAAAAGAATGTTAAAGTAATTGTCTAAAAAACCTAAGCAACATTTTGTTAATGCACCACAACCTAATTGTAGTTACTCCCACAATTCTAAGGGGGCTTTACCGCAAATTCCAAAAGGATTCTTTTGCTTCCCCTGGCCAAAAGATTTGTTATCTCTTCTAAATCTCTACATAATTTTCCAATATTTTATTATTAATAATTTAATTGAATTAAAGAAATACATTTAAGAGAATAAAACTGAGAATACCTCTCGTGAAATAGAAGGTGGGGCATTTTCATAAAACTCTTCCACTGGCACCAACTCAATTTCTTCATCTTTTGATCTGCAATAGGAACAGAAAGCAAGTAAAATATACATCAAAACCAGGGTAGCCACTCATTTACTGGAAAAAAATTTCCCTGGCATATCCGATTTTCTAGTGCCTTTTTTCCCCAACAAAATTTGCATCATCACATTACTTAAAAAAAATATTAAAGTTATTCCCAACAAATTGATTATCTCTCTGATTTCATCGTGACAAAGTACAAATAGACAATATTTTGCCACCAAATAAAAACTGAGGAAAAAATAACACTGTACAATGTTTTAAGGAATAATTTCTAGTTATATAACCCTCTCAAAATTTTCCCTGATTCCTAATTATTCTTCCCTGATTTCTCCAGGGCAATGAGATTCTCTGATTTTTCTGTTTTCCAGAAAGAGGCCCCCCTGAAAAGAATAAAAGCAACACCTACAACATTAGAAATTCACCTGAGTATTCAAAAGTAGGAAATAATATAATTGAGAAATTAAATAAAATATTATTGACACTAACTTCATTTCTATGATTCGTAGGGAAAGGTGCGATAATAGAAGGACAGAAGCCTATCAAAATAACTATGACATCTAAAGAACATTTCGGTTGTCAGAATGAGAGTAGAATTTTCTATGAGATTGTAGGTTGATCGGAAGATGGCGGTGACCTGGTGCCCTTGACATCATTGCTCACCCGTGCAGAAAACATACGTACATCTGCGAAATGATGCCTTTGCAGAAAACATACGTACACCTGCGAAAGGAGGCCCTTTCCTTGCCTGTATGAAGAAAATCTCTTAACTATATTAGAATTAGGTATAATTAAATAAGACTGATAAAATGAAAGTAAATAACGAATGTACATGAAGCAAATGTGTGAAATGGATATTACAATTTTAATACATTAGACCGTAAATGAAATAAACGTACTTGAACTGAAGACATTTTGTTACTTCTTTTTTGAGATGCAATATTTCATACAGTAAATTCTGCAGTTGTAAATGATAACTGTCAACTTGTAGCTTCTCTCTATTCAGAACATCACGAGAATTCTTGGTGCGAAACTTCTCCAGGCGATTTAATTTCTTTAAAACAACAAATAAAAGTGAGGCTGATATTTGTTTCTCAGCAATTTCTGCAGTTGCAGCTTCAGTGTTTTTTGTTTTAAGGACCGCAATTTCACTCATTAGTTTCCTAATCTCATCACAAGTGTTGCAGAAAAGTTTAGTGTCCGAGTCAGGATCTCTTGATGCAGCCTCCCCTTCTTCAAAGTCAATTACAGCCTGAAAATACAAAAGATTAAAATTGTAAACAAGTTAGGTTTACTATGTCAAACAAAAATAAGCTCTTTTGTTTTGGATTTCATTGAACTGATGGTAACTATAATTTGCCTTTTAAATTGATTTATCAAAATCCAATTATTAAAAATTGACAAGTCCACACAGTCAAATTTCTGATTACATCAATCAAGTAGCATCACACTGAATCATTCCTTCCTTTTCGCTCCTAGTGCATTAAATCAACAAATTACCTCAGATTTCCTGTACAATTAAATTAATTAATGAAGATAAATTCGGATAAAACAGTTGTAAAATTCTAATTAAAATTATTGCACTTTCAATACCTATTAAACTTCAATATTTATGTGCAATAGTACCTGGTACACATCGGTTTCTGCTCCACTAGATTGATGTACAGATGAATTACTTGTTCCTTTACTCCTTCGCTTCTTTACTGTTATGTCCTTTTCTCCATTATTTTCTCTCACCATGTTTTACACTGGAGTTTTCTTACTATGCAAACCAAAGATCTTTCGTACCCACTGATTATATGTTACTCACTACCCTTAGCACACATTACGTTCAATAATTGTGCGAATATGAATATATCGCACCGTGCTCCAATAATATTTCAGAACACGCTATCTACCACGATCTACTGAACATAGCAGAGAGTGTTGAACGAATCATACATACTCTTTGTATTGAATTGAATTAGCACCGCTGAGCGCTGTCCGTCGCTCACTTGTTAAATTTAACGAACCAGTACACCAATCTATTAGAAACGAAGCAAAACCTATTGCAATCGAACTGACAACAAAACTACAAGATGAAAATCCCAGAAATTACTTTTTGTACTGATTATATTATACATGTTATAAATTCTTTTTATCTTTAAAAACAAATTAAATTATTAATTTAAAACTACATCTGAAGTTCTGTATCATCTCGCTTCACAGCAATGTTGGTCCCACCACATTCAAACTATATTAAGAAATATTTAACTATGCACTTGATATAAATGAGCTGTTCATCATTTAATCCAATCGAGCTTGAACGTCCCCATAGTGACGTCACTGTATTGATATTTGATTGGATAAAATGGCAACAGCTAAATTAACGTCAAGTGCACGACTAAATAAATCGTACTCTAAATATTGAACAGGTATCATCAAGCATATTGAACATAATTAACAACTTAAACCTTTTAAGAAAAATAAAAGGATATTTTTGTCCATGTATAATTTTTCAAACTCATATTTACCAAATAAGAGCTCACTTCAATTAGAATTTATTTAGCAAGCGGTCCATTAGGAGCGTTGCCATGGATACACATGATTCACCAAGTCACACCAACTGCAAATTTAATTATTGCCAACTTCGTAAAAAAGTAGATTTTTCTTTTGGTTTCCACTCTGAACTGATTAAAGTTTTGTGCAAACGTCAACATAATTTTCAAATGTGAACAAGTCAGGTCAGGAGTGAGTGAAAAGTTGCATTATGTGTCAATTGGTTGTTAGACTATGGTATTATTTTCACTACAGTTGTCTAAGTCTTCTAAACTAATACTTTGTTCATAACACAAAGAACGTCACTTTGACGTGTGTACCATAATTTATTTACCGCCAAGGAAACATGATTTATCAACTACCGAAAAAATTAATTGCAATGACAATTATTAGAATTGATGCATTTGTGTTCCTTCTTCTTCTTCCTTGTCTGGATTGCACATCACAAACTATTCCTAGAGCACTTGTTATTTCATTTGATGGCTTTAGATATAATTACCCAAATCTCAGCATCACACCTACACTAGAAGAAATAAGAATGGAGGGAACACATGCAGAGTTCATGTATAATGTGTTTGAGACTAAAACATTTCCTAATCATCATTCAATAGCAACAGGATTGTACCCAGATTTTCATGGAGTGATAGCAAATTCATTTTATGATCCGCATTATGATAAGGTTTTAAAATACAGTCAAGAAATGTGGGAATTTAGTGATCAAATTTTGCCCATATGGGTAAGATTTTTTGTTGTTTTTTTTTAAATCCATTATGCAAACTTTCTCATTATCAAAAATATGTAATGAAAATTTTCATTTATGTTTGTAGATTCATAATGAAGATCATGGAAGTGAAAGGCACAGTGGTGTATATATGTGGCCAGGAAGCAATTATAAGTATCGAAATAAGTACCCAACACATGTGGAACCTTTTAATTCTAGTACACCATGGCATGAACGTGTAGATACAGTAGTAAATTGGTTTTTGGACCCTGATTCACCTGCAAATTTTGTCATGATGTATTTTGAAGAACCTGATGCGCATTCTCATAAGTTCGGACCAGATTCAGAAGAAGTGAAGGAACAGATAAAAAAAATTGATAGGACTGTTAGTTATTTGCGACAGTGTCTCTACCAAAAGAATTTGACAGATACAGTCAATGTAATCTTTCTTAGTGATCATGGTATGGCTGCTGTTCCTCCTCAAAATTTAATTAATGTAACTGATCTTCTTAAATCATATGGTGATCACTGTATCGTGGCTGGGACTTCTCCCGTTTTACACATTATTCCGAAAACAAGTAAGCAGATTTTTTAAATATTTTGTTATCTTTCTATAGTTAATGCTGCTTTATTTTTATTAATATTTGTGGTTGTTTTTTTTTTTAAATTAATTTACACTTTTTCTGTCAAGTATTTGTCAATTACTTTCTGTCAAAAGTTATGTGTGAGAAAATGATTTTATGTGATTTTCTTAAGTAAAGATTCAATCAATACACATTTCATATTTCTTTTAATTCCAAAACTGAATTTCTAAATCATTGCTCTAGGAAGGGTGAAGTTGGACAGAGTTTAAGATTAGAATTAAAATCTTTCTTGTGTCATTTTATGTTATGTTTAAATCCCAATCTAAATATTGTATTATTTTTAATCATTCCATAAGCGCAGTCTCTCTATGATACTACAGTTTCTTTATCAGTTTGATTTTATTTTCAAATTACTGATTAAAATTTCTCAAAAATTTATAAATTTGGAAATGAAATTTTACCTTTATTGTTATGGAGAATAGAATAAAACTCGCAAAACACAATAATGTGGTCATATGATGTAACATATGTTGAGAGATGTTGATTAAGATGTAACAAATAATCTTTGATTGTGTGATTTAAATTACATTTTGTTTCAGATATAGAAGAGGAAGTGTACACAGCTTTGAAAAAACTATCAGAGAGTAATCAGTTTGCTGTGTACAGAAAAAATGAACTCCCCCCTGAATGGTTGTACGCTCATAATAGGAGGATACCTCCAATCATGATAGTAGCAAATAATGGCTATGCATTCGATGATATAAGAGTAAATGGTATGTGCAATGAAGAGTGTGAAGTTAACCATATCTCACAACTTTCAAAGAGTACTTTTATAGCACTAGATTTTAAAGTTCAGAAGTTTCAATGATATTTTTAAACTATAAATTTTAGAAAACAAACTTTATTTTATGTAAGGTCATATAAAAGGTAATTAGTATTTCAATAAAAAAGAATTTTTTTTTTTCCAAAAAACAAGAGATTTTTTTATGAAGAAAGGCATTAAACAATTGGGAGGAAGTTTAAGGACTAGCTAGGCATGAGAAAGACATGTGAAATAGCATAGTAGAACGAAGAAGAAATGCATTTAACAGGAATACATTGCTACTTGATATAAAACAACTAATGTTTGTTTAAGAATAACTTTAAATGAGAGCACATGGAAAGTGAAATAGTTGAACGCTTCATCCATACATTTGTTACAGTATACTAAGGAGTCATTTCACTTTAGAATCCATGGTGTAAGATATGAAGAAAGGTACACAGAAACTGTCAATATGCAGTGTAGAGTTGAAAAAGATAAAGATGAGATGAGTTTTTGCTTCTAGTAAGAAGGATATGAAATTTATTTATCATTTATTTTAAAATGATGAACGTGGAAGTAGTATCTAATTGAATTTTATAATCAAATATTGATAATAGCTGAATACATTATACATCAACATTCCATTCGGGTGTTCTATTCCCAATTGAATTTTCTATTATTTAAAATATTTTTTATTTGGTTTTTAGTACATATATAGAATTCAGTAATTTTAATTTTCAAGATTACTGTGTTTTATAAAACTAGCGAAATACACATCTTTGCTGGGCTTTCGTAATATCCAACCCTTAGGAAAAATATCAATTTTATATTAACCACGGCATTTAAGATCATTATTTTTAATGTAATTGGCTCAAATTTTAATAAAATATTTTAATGTTCTTTTTATTTTACATTATATAGCTATTCGATTAAAAATTGTTATTTTATGCACTATTACTGTCCTCTAGCCAATCTATTAGGTTCACCATTCTGTTATTCTATATATGTATTTACAAGTCATGTGTATAGAAGGGGGGATTTGGAGTCACATCACTGTTATGGGCTTGCACGTGATAAATAAAAGTTTTGCACAGAAATTAAGCTACATAAGAATAGGAGTAAAATAATTAAAAAGAAAGTCAAAAAGTTCGGTGAACTGCAATTGATTACAATTCTTTTTTTATTATTGATTAAATTTTAAAAAAATTATAGAATAAACAAAATTGTGTTATGTTGATACTTTATATTTCTGCAGCATGAGATATGAAGTCTTCAGGAGAAATTATGAATAGCTTGTGACATACTTTTTGCTACAATGAATGTTTTATTTTCATAGGAACAAAAATGTATGGTGTTCATGGATATGATAACAGATTAACAGATATGCATCCTTTCTTTATGGCATATGGTCCTAACATAAAGAAAAATTATACTATTGAACCATTCAACTCTGTTGATTTGTTTAGCCTATTTTGTGCTGTACTTAATCTTCAAATGGTGAGCACTAACGGAACTGTGGACCACGTGAAGGAAATGCTTGTCCCTGCTGAATTTCCTATGTCTAGTAAGTAGTTCCAAATTTATAATTCTGATAATAATTTGTAAAAACTTAATAAAAAGGTAAAATTGTGAATTGAAAATTCATCCTAACTCAATATTATTTACACTAAATACTGACATTCCTTAATTGTTGTTTTACTTTTGCAGGTGTAGCTATAACAATGGCTAGTTTGTTTATTCTACTTATGGGTTGCTTAGCTGCAGTATTAATTAAGAATCTCTACACTCAATATCTTTTAAGGTATATATAATTTCATAGTACTATTTTAAATTATAGTTTTCTATTATACATTAACCTGCCATTGACACTACAATTTTCTATTACTTATTTCAGGCGATATGATTCAAGTAATGGATTTAGTGTTTCTAAAGAATTTGAAAATATTCATCTGCTTGACAGTGATGATATGGAATAGTTTGTTCTCAAATTGTGGTTTTAGATCAGTTGGTTCTCAAATTGTGGTTTATTATCAATTGAAATTTCTAGACAGCTTCTAAGGAATAAGAAAGTTTATGCTATAGAATGTTCTCAAGTTTTAAGGATAAACTGGAGCACAATCAATGTATGTGTTTGTATGATGTGAAGTTTCAGGCTGTGAGCTTATTGGATTTTGTTGTCCATTGAATTTTTTTCAGTGGAACTGAGTTTACCGTTTTAAATAAAATGTTAAAAATATTTGGAGTTTTATTTCTAGAGCTCATTCTGTAATCACGTTCCTGATCTTCCATTGTAATACCAATTATCCTGATTTCCCTTCGGCAAAATTTTTCTTTTGTTCAATTTTGTGTTTTTATTCAATTATTGTAATTTTTCTTTTTGATCTCTTTTGAATTGTGGCATTGAAGCATTTTTGATGCGGATCTTGAAATAGTGGTCTTATATTCAAAAGTTTTTGCACGAACTTTTCAAGTAGAGAACAATGTTGTTTGAACGATTGTTTCAATGTATCATTAAGTTTAACTGAAGTGATAATAATCGAAACCTACGAGTTTTACGTTAACGCCCGTTAAGTAGCGCGCGTCGTAGAACACTGAATGTTAAGCCGGCTCCACACATTCGTCGAGAAGCGAGCAACCGCTCAGTGAATCGCAAGTACGAATTGTGGATGAGTTGCTTCCTATATGCCGAGGGACGAACATTTGGTGCTCGGCCTATCCATCGCGTCTGTCTTTTGGACACATCAGATGAAGCGAACATTCACCGAACTCATCAGCTGTTCGGGATTGGGCAAGCACTAGCTTCTCGTCTTTAGGCGGCTCCACTCATTCGACATTCGCCGAGCAGCGAGCTACTGCTCGCCCAATCCCGAACAGATGATGTGTTCAGCGAAAGTTCGCGTCCTATGATGGGTCCTAAAAGACCGACACACGATGCTACGGCCATGGTGTAAGAATACCGAATGTTCGGCGAATCGCAAGCAATCCGTCCACACAACTCGGGATTCGCCGAATGCCGCATGTGTGGAGCCGCCTTAATGCAAAACGGCACACGAGCGCTTTGGCCGTTCATCAAGTATTGTTAATCTACGACGCGCGACAACGAAACGCTCGTATGTCACATGCCTCAGTACCTTACAAATGTACTGAATTGGCGACGTATCTCCATGAAATACGAACATTCAGCCTTATAGTGCAAGGTAAGATTCAATGTTTTTTCCACGATTTTTGGATACCGTTGAGCGTATAGAAACGGAATTCTTGCATAAAATATTTCACAGCATGATGGATAAGCGTCATAATATAATGATGATTATTATTATAGCCCGTTACAATCCTGTAAAGGGCAAGGGTGGGTTACATTAGAATTTTCGAGTGCCCGATTCGGGAATTTCCTTATTTAAGCGCTAGGCCTATTAACACACAAAATAAGTAACGCTGTTCTCATTGTCACTGTCAAATTGAACACTGTTCACTTTGAATAATGTAGTCTTAATATACTGATAGATGTAAAACTAGAAAACGAAAATGGAGATAGTGATTTATGAAACGTTCCTGATTATGGAAGTAGCTTATATTTTACTTCGTGTAACAAAACAAATGAAACCAAATTATGTACTGTAGACCTACACTACAAATACTGTGAACTCTTGGTATGAGTTTTACTCTTACCAAAATGTTCCATAGTCTACGGCTTCCAGGCACCACAGGTAACCAGAGAGTATAAAACTCGGGCAATTCTCAACTGCAATTCTTCGATGACACAGTCGGTGAATATACGACAACATTATGGAGAAATCTGAAATTGCCATTTGACAATGTATTTCCACTTGACGTTCCACCTCACTTGTAACTGTCACCTAAACATCGAATACTTTTCCACTAATGACGGAGGTGCGAGGTCATAATGGGATGTTTTCAAAGGAGGAAGTTGCGTCGGCGGATGGTGGGGATTGTTTTCCAAGATGGATAAAAGCGGTGATATAATGAAATGTATTAGGAAGCATGTTTATCTTTTAAGTTGTTTTTTATACCAAGTGGCAATGTGGGCTGAACGCAGGGCCGGATTTACTTAGTTTCTGAGGAGTCCAGGAAGGCCTATGCTCAGGAAATAATGTCAAAAATATGTTTGTGAAATAATAAATACATTTTAATTTGCATTTGTGCAAACAGTTATTATATTATAATTATTGTTTTTTAGTAAAACGAGTTTTTTCGGGGGGCTTCAACATTGTGCTTAGGGACCTTGCAGTAAATACTGTCCTGACTAAACAATTTGAAGGATTTAAGGTTCCCTTATTAATAGTTTGTGTTCTAATATTGGATTACACAGGCAGAGTTCTTATGCGTATAAAGAGCTCTTTACTTCCCCGAATGCATAAAGTAGTAAAAAGAACAAAAAACATGGAAGATTTTAAAATAAATCTGCGGTGAAGTTGGATATTTCATTTCAGACTATCACATGATGCGGCTATATTGAGACGCGAAATGTGTTTTAGTCCAATTTGATACATTTTTTTTGTTGTTGTTGTAAAGAAAGAGTGTATTGACTGTCTCTAAGCATCCGGAGGAGACCTCTGTTCTATGCTCTACCACATTAAAGTCGCATCTTGCACCCACCCCACTAATGTACCTATCAGCGACATCACTTGACAGTTACTTATTTTCGAACTGTTCGATAGCCAGCAAATCTGAGACGCTGCCAAGGGCACAGCTCGATGCTGTGAATCGCATGTGTGACATTCAATACTTTGAAACATAATTGTTTTCTTTAGTTTGGCTAAGGTCACTTACGCAGTGGCGGATCTTTGGGGTAGGTAAGGTAAGCACCACCTGCCCTGATGAATATGTACCTACGAGTTAAATACATTTCATAGTAATAAAAAATGAAGGACTCTTACAATTTTAATGTGGTGTAAGAATTCGTCTCGAAATGTATTATAAACATTTCATTATCGTGATATGAGCCATATTTCCATATCAAGGGTTTTCTAACAGTCCGTGCGCCATGCGATATGTCTCGTCTCTTCCCGCACTGTCTTCACCCTCTCCGGGTAGGCACGCCGGGCGCTGCCTCGCTTCTCACCGTATTCTGAAAAAAGGCTGCTGAATCCGAAGTCAGAATTGCGACATCATCTTCCAGTGGTTAAAAAACAAACAAACAAAAAAACCCCTGGAGGATAATGGCGCAATTCTGGCTTTACATTCGGAATAAGCGCGTCGCGTCACATAGAGAAACATGTGTCAAGTCTTTGGGTCCAACAACAACCTCCGAAAACAAAACATACAATATCACGGTATTTTTTCGCGATTAAAAAACAACAACTGAAGGGTGGTGGCGCAAATCTGGCTTCATATTCGGATTAAGCGCGTCGACTTACATAGAGAAACATGAGTCAAGTTTTTGGGTCTGATAACTTTTGTTTTTTTGTGTGTTTGTGTTATTTTCTACAAAAATGAAAACCGGAAGGACAACAGAAAAAATATTTGTGTTGGAATTTGTGAAAATACTTAAATAACATACAATAGCTCTCACAATCGTAAGGAGATATATGTTTAACAGAAAATGTTCCATCCATTTTCTTAATTTCATGTTCCATTTTTAGTGGGTTAATTATTAATATAGTCATTGAAACAACCTTTTATGTATTAAACAGATTTATTAAGTACAATATTATATACATTTTTGTAGATGTTATTTATATGAGGCGTTTTACAATTGTAGGTTAAACACTGCAAGTGCTTCAAAGTGAATCAAAATACATATTTGAGGTATATTTTGATAGATTCTCCCAATGATTATAGGACATGAGCGAGCAGTTTTCTCTTAATTAAGTCCTCGTGAAAACAAATTAAATGTACTTACTTTGAAGAGAAAATATCTGTTTACTTTGATACCAAACTATTTCTATCGTGATGGCTGGCCAATCTTTTACTCTCTAAGAAGTAAGCATTTTCTTGCGTGGACTTAAGTCGTAAAGCATGTAGTCGTTTCTGCAGTTCCGTTAACTGTGAATAAAAAATGTACTGATAAACTGATTTTTGAAACCAGCATACAGCTTCCGCAGTACACATACGAATACATCCGATCAACAAATATCTTTTCCGAATCTCATTCTAACATCTGTTAATGAGACACTAGTGAAACATCTTGCGCAGTCAATAGCAATATAAAAAATTATCTTGCGGGTTGCGCTCAAAAGATATATACGCAAAAACTCCTATATTTTTGTGGGTTCGATATGTTAATGTGTTAACTTCGTTCAAAAACCTATGCTATTTTGGAAAAAATGATCAAATCGTTAGAAAACATTTAAAATATTTCCAAATAATTCAATTTCAGCGTCACGTTTTGAGATTTTTATATTTAGGGAAAGTTTACAAAGTGCATCTTCTAGAAGACCAAAGCACAAAAGAATTGTTCCAAAGTTGACTGAAAAAACACATTTAAATCATTCAAGTATCAATTTGGAAAAATGTGGAATAATGTGAAAATGTCTCTAACGAAGGCTACTAAGGAAGCTCTGGGGATGAGATGTAAAATATTAAAAATATGGGGTCGACAGAAATAGAAGAATTAGTTAGAATAAAGAAAAAAATGTTATAATAAATATTCTAACAACCCAACATACGTTAATAAACAAGAGTACCACATCGCAGGAAATGAAGCAAATACTGCAATCAATCATTCACAATGCATCTTGGGAAAGATTTATTGCAAATATTGAACATGATGTACATGGAAGGTAGTCTTTTGCGTATAAAATAATGAAGTCCCTAAATAGAACAACAAAAGAGGATGTACATGTCAAAAGTATAGAAATAGAAAGGGGTAGAACACTACCGATCTCTGTTGTACGACTTTAAAGAAAACGCTGTAGGTAATCACAGAGAAATGTATACAAAAATTGACATCACATGGGAAGAACTGACAATTGCTTTAAAATAATTAAAAAACCAAAAATACACCCGTACCAACCGGAGTCAACAGCGAATTACTGATTTGCATTGCATGAACGCCTTTTAAAGCTGTTTAATGTGTGCTGGGGACAGCATGAGACTCCTCAAGAATGGTTACAGGCTAAAGTGCTATCCCTGTACAAAAAAGACGATCGACCCAGAATTATCGAGGAATAAGTCTGCTAGGCAGTACCTACAAAGTATACGCTAGAATTCTCAAATAATAATTACAAGACACCAGTAGAAGCACTTCTCTCAGAAGAGCAAACTGGATTCAGAAAAGGTCATTCGGGTATAGATGCTATATTAATATTTTAACCCATGATTTTAAATGTATTTTTTGAAGGAAACGCAAACAATAAGACATAAATGTCAACTGGTAGAATAAATGCCCTTGGGAGATAAAATTTATACCAACTATTTTGCTCAGTCAAAGGCAAATTTATCCACGTCTGTCACAGTGCGTTCCTGGGAGCAGGCAAGTGTAGCGTCACGGCTTGGCAGCAGCCGAGTGCAAGGTAGAGGGCTGGGGGATCTAAAGATAGAACAAAGAAGGGACCTTCCGACAGGAAATGGTCCGCGGGCCAGGCAGCGCCAGGGAAAGGCTTTCCACCGCGCGGGGGTGGGGAGTAGTGACGTAGGAGGTCAGGTGACCAGGACCTATAAAGACGCCGTGGCGAGACGGCGCGAGTGGGTAACATTTTGGTTTCCTCGTGGCTAGACTACAAAAACTTTGTCCGCCCAGACTGGTGCGGAGTGCCGAGGGCACGTGGTTGTTCGACGAGTTCGGACGGGGTGATGTGTTCTTCAAACACATTCGGGCAGATCGTCAATCTGCCGGGGCACACCAGGTGCCTATTTGCGGCCTTGCCGGCTGGTCGTAGGCGTCGCCGCAAGGCGCATGTAGGGAGAGGAGGGCTGCAGTGGTAGCTCTGGCAAACCGCCTTAGAGTGAGAGTTGTAAATATGTACAGTGTGTAAATAAAACTTGTATATACTCACTCGTGTCTGTTTCCTTGTGGTGTAGATCCCTACACACGACGTTACACAAGGTAGAAGTGCCTACAGCGCCGTTGTGTTCCACAGCGTCGCGCGTTTGTCAAGTAAATAATAGAGGGAGTTGATTATTATTCGCGAAGGATTATTATTTTATTTTACATTTATTGTGTGTGTTTGAATATTTTTAGAAATAAATAAATTTTTACGATAATATTATGACTGTTAAAGTGAGTGAACTACAAACAGTGCATTTTATCTTGAGCTGTCGTTTCTCTAAAGAGTCAGAAGTACGGGATTTTATATTTTCCACATTAGGACTACAAATCGAACTGCCTCTCATTTTTCAATGCAAATAGTTTCTACACACGCGGGAGTGAACATTTATTGTAATCAGGTATCAACAACGTTCGTTGCTGCTGACCTTTTATTCATAATAAAATAAATGTTGGTTAAGAATTGAAGGGAAGAATTTTGGAACTCAAGGAAATGTGCGGGTATACTGCTATGTACAATTTTCGCGACTTAACTATATACAATAGATAGACGACAAATTTGGGACAAATGTCGACCCACTCCCACGTTGAATATGGTTTACATTGTGTTGGCGAACAAAATGTTAAAAAGATCATTCGGCAACAGGGGCGGATCCAGAAAGTATGCAGCATCCACAGTGAAGTTCCTCCACACGCAGTACCAACAGTTGAAAATTATATTTATAAAATAAAACAAAATAAATTAACTTAAGCATTAATTGGCCGGTTATTTCAAAGTGAATGTAATTCAAATCATGTGTGAGCATTAGCATACTTACCACATCAACTCTTCGAGCAAGAGCTTTATGTTGTTCCTCAGGAGAACCTTCAAGGGCAGCCATATTGTCCTCAAGCGTCGCGGTTAGAGCTTCAAGGTCCTCCCTTTCCACCCTGCACAGAAACATTTTCGCATTTTTGTTTTCATTTTCAGGCGAAGAACATAATGCTGTTACAATAGTAGTATCATCCTTAGAATATTTTCCAGGTATGTAATACGTAATAAATCTTGAAGGTAAACCATTGTTGATATTTGATTGATTAACTAATACAGGCAAGAGAAACGTCAATAAAGCATAAAGCTTCAAAAAGATATTGTGTTAGAGAGAGCATGTGTCGGCGGGAGGATGTGTCGGAAGAATGTCAAGGGTTCGAAAGGGCTTCGAGAAGACGAGGAGTCGAAAGGTCACTGGAAGAAATACTGGGAGTTTGGGGCAGGGCCGCCAAAAGCATATGATGAAAATGGAGCACTCCAGTGCAGACTTGAGCTACTTTAGTTTGGAATTGCATATCTAAAATATGTGTTTAAAATTCACTTTTTCTTCTTTTTATACACACAAGCACAATAATTATTTTATTATATAATGCATATCTACTAATTTCCCATGCAACAGAAATTGAAAGAAAACTTTACAGCCTTCGTCCGTGTGAGAGTTGTTACGGTGTCGTTATCCAAAAACCATGAAACAGTATCGATTTTGGCGGAAAAATGCAAACGTGTGATTGTGTTATTACTCCTATTCTAAAAATTCGCGTGATGATTCAATTCTCATTCTCAGTGCAACATATCTGACGTCACTCGACAGTTAGTCTCCAAGGAAGAGGCCGATCGCCGTTAAATATTTGCTTTTCACCTGTTGCGCTGTGGAATAGCAACTTTTTATGATCTTGGTATACAAAGAACTGTTATACTATGTTTGTATTACACTATGTTGTTGAAGAATTTGTAAAGACTGTTTTTGTTAAAATATTTAATTTGATGCAGTGTTACCCATGAGTATTTTGTTGTTTGTAAGCAGTGTGTCTAGATTTAGGAAAATCATTTAATGTGGTTTTGTTCAGCATTTTTGCTGCTGTATGCCCCTATGTATTATTCTGAATAATTTCCACCCAAATGATATTTTAAATTGTTAATTTTTTCGCGGCTTTTGAGTTTCGGTGTATTAGCCCGACCCTTCATCAGTGTTTATTATTCCAACCATAGTTTTTTTCATTCGATCCCCGAGAAAACCATATACCTCACTCCTGGACTGGGCGCTTATTAGTGTCGAGTCTGCATGTGCATCCGGAGTGGTCTGAAGAACGCTGGGAGAATGTTGGTAGTAGTTGAGGAGTAAGGTTTTGTCAAGAGACACGAGGTATTGGCAATGGGAAGGAGTCAAGAGAATGAGACGGAATTGAACATTCGAAGAAACGCGTGGCACGGATGTCGTATACCAACGTACGAGTACAACAGGAGTTTTAAGCTTTGATTAGATTTTGGCTGGGAATATATGTAATTTTTCAAAAGATTATTCTAATATAAATATATCGTGGTTTTTTCATATTATGAAACGCTTTAAAATAATATAAATTATTCAAATTAGCTCACATAATTACATTTATTTAGGACAATAAAAAACACTGTTTAGGTTTATGTAGCTTTCATAGTAGGAAAATATCCAATATGCAAATATATTAGCAGGAAACTAATCTCGTTTATAAAAATGTTTTAATCTGTTTGAAAGAAACTTGGGATTCAGGAAAGTAATGGCAACATTGTCATTCTTAATACATTAAAGAAATAATACACATGGAAAGTGAACATTCGATTCTTTGAGTAACTATTATTTACCGTCTAGTAATTGATGGCTCATCTGTGTGAAGATCGTAGGGAGCTTTAAACTCTGAAAAAGAAAGCAAACTTTTTCTTATGATATCATTCTCCAGTTCATTTAAAAATCAATAAATAGACGCTTTTACAATATTTATTCATTAGAAAGAATTAAAGTAAATGCACATAATAAAAGGAGTATATACTAATATATTAAACAGAAATTGGTATATTCACAGATATTTTGAACTTAGAGTGCATACCTACTCGTCATACAACTGTACAGAGCGCCCATTCCAGGAAATTTTCTTTGAAATAATATCAAGTGCAACCAAAATTATTAAGGATATTTATTTTATTCAAATACTTACTATAATTACGTACAAATGACATATCTGGTATCATAAATTTTCTTCTCCAGGCTTTTAGTGCCACCTCACTCCTGTGCAAAAAAAAATCAATGACAGAATCTGAACATTATTCGACGGCGAAAAACAACGAAAAGAAACAAAACAAAATCTGCAGTGCCGTCTCTAGAATATTGTTTTCAATATTTTCTTAGCTTACAGAGATGGCCAATCACCTTTCTCAATTTTTTCAGGAGAGGCAAAAACAGTTACATACACCATTTCGCCATCCTGTTTTGTTGACTTTTTTTAATATTCTTGGCATATTCAGAAAACTGTTCTTAAGCTTATTTTCATTATATCTCTTGAAACTCAGAGGAAAATGTGTTTGATAACTTCTTTTAGTTGACCACCTATGTTCCTAGAATGAGAGACTTTTTTAAAACATAAAACGCTCACACACGCAATGTATTATTATTATTATTATTATTATTATTATTATTATTATTATTATTATTATTATTATTATTATTATCATTAAGTAAAAACATTTGAAAATAGTCTTTAATATTTAAGCCGTCAGAAACAACATCTAGGTGTAGACTGATAGTTGTGAAAGTGAGAACGGAGATGGCCGTACCTACTGTAGGGTCGGTCTGAGGTGAGATGTGCTCCAGCAGGTCAATTGTACAAGTTTGTACAAGAAAACTACTAATTTGTGGAATTTATTTAATATTTACAATCCTGACATAATGAATAGGACGGAATCATGGCTTGCAAACGTTATTCACAACGGCGAAATCTTTCAGACTTCACACGTTTAAAAGTTAGACTGTAACCGCGGATGGTACATATTTCTCTGCGTCAACAATAAATTGTCAGATGTAGAGATGTGGATAGTCGATGATCATGAAATACTTGCAGTTGACTGGAAAGGAAGAGTTTGTTGTTTCGAAATCGTAGGAACGACGACATGCGCAGGATATAAAGGCTATCTGTCAGAACCGGTTTCTTAATTCTACGAAACGAGGCGTGATAGGCGGCGCTCAAAACGTGCCTCAGGTGAAGTGGTCTGGCGACACTAAGGACTTAGCGCTAGTGCTCCTCAATTTTCTTGTTTGGAACTGTAGATGTTGGCAGGTAGATGAGAACCCAACGAGAGAGCGCGCACTTCTGGACATTTTTCTTGTTCGCCCAGAAGAGCACTTTATTTCCTGCGAAAATTTTTCGGACACAAGCGACCACAGTGACGTTTTATTGAAAATGGAATGAGGCGTCAAAACCAATAATTTGTCGCAGTAAATATTTCCGGCTTTTCATAAAACTAACGTATCCACATTACAGAGCTCTTTCGTAAAAAATATGCTTGTTGGGCGGAAACTGTAGTATAAAGGAACAATGGAATAACATTAAGTCCACTGGGCTAAAGAGTACGGCATCGAGCGTTTTGTTCCGAACAAAATATTAAAAAATGATCCGAATCCCGAATATTAGAATGTACGTACTATTAGACCCCTGAAAAGAAAAGTGAGAAAATCATAGAATACGAAAAGGGCAGGTACACTTTATCAGAAAAAAATGCATGCGTTTTGGCGAAGGAGCAATTAGAGGCGAAGGAGATCGCACAAGAAAAAAAATCTGTTTTAGATAGTAAGGAAGCGCACTGAATGGAATTTAACAAGTATGTGAAAATATGTCGGGGAAAACATAACTGCATTCAAATCAGGAGTCGGTACATCCATCTGCAATGTTAAGGGAAAGCAAACGCACACAATTTATTACACGCGTCCATATTTACGCCCCCGAAGAATGACGCTGTAGTTAACATTTGCTCACAAAATCAAGATATGGGTAGCCTTTTTACAACAAAGCTTGTCTTTCCACGGAAACGGATCGCGGTACTAACCGAAAAGATATTGAACTTGACTTAATGACTGGGGAATTTATAAGATTGGGAACGGAATCCAAAATTCCGTACTCCGTATTCCGTAGAATATACATACGTGGTAGGTTACATGAGTTCCTGACCTCACTAACTTCTGTTTTTGATACAAAGAAAAAATTACGTAACTAAACTTAATTATCCTTTACTCTAACCCACCTTTAATATCTGTATATTAATATTTCCAGGTCTTTGAAACAAAAGTACTCCGAATTTTTGTTCGCAAAATGGTCAATAACTGCTTTTTTTACCTCAGACTCGACTGTATCTTTTCTTGAAAGATTGAAGATTTTTCTTCCGTTTTTAAAAGTGGCAGACGTCGCAGAGTGCCCAATCAGGACTGTAGTGTGAATGGTCCAACTCCTTAAAGCCATAATCCTTCACAATATCATTTGCAATCTGAGTAGTAAGCACGTGTTTAATCCTGTTTTGTAATTCTTCATGGAAATTTCATGTTCTGAATTGTGAATAAACAGTTGATTAAAAAATGATAGAACGTGATCGCTCAAAATGTTTTTTGGCAATGCTTTGGTTGAGGAAGTGAGATGCTTGTACAGACAGCACAATGTGCATTGTACAATGTACAATGTGCATGACAGTACAGTGGTCTAGACGACGGGTGTTCAACTTAGAAGGGCTTATGGGCCTCATATCAAATTCGACTTACGCCGCGGGCCGCACCTTACTTTAAGATGTGTTTTTTACACTATCTACTGAGTTTGTACTGAAACAAATCTATATTAGATAGTTATTCAATACACTTCATTATTAATGTAAATACAACGAGAAAATTAATATATCATTAAATAAAAATAAGAAGAATTATGCAATTTTTCAGTGAGAAGATTGAGTTCGTTCTGATTCATTCACCAACGAGTTTATGTCCACTTTCAGCTCCATTGTAGCCAGTGACTTTCAGTAGACCACTAATGTTAAGGGTTATTTTACATTTATAATTACAATTATGTAATTATAAAAATGCATAACAGAACAACTAAAAAATGTTGTGTTTGGTTAGTACAACAATCGTTTTCAAAGCAGTCGCATGCCACACAAAAAGATCCGGCTGGCCGCCAGTTGGTAAGCCCTGCTCTAGACTTCATCATTCCCCCATCGGCACAAAGGGTTAAATAAATATCAAGAGGAAAATTACATAAAAAACGCTCACAGTTTTGCAGGGGCATACTGCCTACACCCTTCTTCATTTTTTTCATATAATCGTCCTATGAGTCCCCCTAAGAATACTCGATGAGACCATAGTCGCGAACATTTTGTGAAGCAAATCGTTCAGAAGACATGACCTAACACGAGTGGAAATTAAAAATTATGTTAAATAATGTTATATATTGGAGACTTAATGTACTTACTTTTTTCTTTCTATTATTCTCTCTTGCTTCATTAAACTCTGTTTAACTTTTTCCATCCAGAGATCTCTCAGAATTCTTTCTATAATCTTAGTTCTGCGTCTGTAAACAGAAAATATTAAAAATTATTATTAAAAAAATTAACCAAAGATTTCTGTTAACTTTTCCGGGTGAATTGTTTCTACCAATGCTATTATCACATTTAGAGCTGTTTTGTTGTAGCACAAATATTACTAATGTAGATAGTGTTCTGACCTCTCATATTGGGGATGTTTACCCATGCGTTACCGGGGGAAGGGGTTTAGAAGCCCGTCGATGACTGTTTTGTATAGATTTCAACTTTTTTAGGGAGTTGAAACTCATTGATATTGTTTATGATAAAAAATATGATGCAGTTAAAACAAGGGTTGTTTATAATTTGATTTACTACAGCGTTTGGATGTGGATAAAAAATTGAGGACTATTTACCCGAACATTAAACACACAGAATTTTGGAAATATTTGTAGTATTTTCAATCTTCGAAAAATACATTACAATGATATAAAGACACATTGGCTTTTATTTGACATAAATATGTAATAAAGTTGTCTTTAATTACAAATATTAATGCGAAAAAGTCGATCTTTTTCCACATACTACAGAAACAGATATTGAATAATTAATATTCAATATTAATAATTATTTATTATTAATTATCAATAATTTAAATCAATGCACGTGCTAGTTATATCAATTTATTAATTTATCAAAAGCCTTAAACACATCAATAAAATCTAAATCTAAGCTGTGGATCCCAGAGCCTCCCCTGGTAACGCACGGGTACATATACGAGTATATCTTGATATTGCTAGCGATAATTATTGAAAATATTATTTTATTATGAAAGTATAGTTTATTATGTTTTAGTTTCTGCCATCAATAAAAGCTTTTCTTAGGTACCACTGCTAAACATAATTCAATTAAAAGGTATTTAGTAAATCTCTGAGTTAAAAGGGAATTTATTAGCCCTTATTAAGTTTTGTCAACTTCAATATACTATTCGTGTATTGAGGTAATCCATACTTCATTGTGATGGAATGTAACCGAATTGAAATACTGACAGTCGAGGAACTAAATCCTGACGTATGTATTAATAAATGAATATTTAAAAGTATAAAGCATAATTTATTTATTAGGTAAAATATTTGATTTGGAAATAATAAACAAAAGACAAAAACAATATTTTTACATACTAGACAAATTTTATCAGCCAATCAAAAAATTGATTCGAGATGCTATAGGTAGAAAACAGATGATGTGTAGAAACCAACGAGCTAGAATATACTAGATAGAGTTGCTGACCCTACGGTTTCTGCGCTCTTGGCAGACGCTCGCCGAGCTAGAGGCCGCTATGGTTTTTGCAGTCAAAACATGAGAAGAATATGATGGTAGCTAGTAGAACTGATACTGTTGCTTGTATCAGATCTTATTTCTATATGGTTGCCTTTTCGTTATCTGTATTTTAAATACATAAGCAGTTAGAATAATAATATTCACAATGCATTCAGTATGTTCGCCATATAACTGTAAAAATATAAGTCATCAAGACACAAATATATAATTTTTCAAGTTTGACGCCTTATTTGTGATCTGTTTGTTTGCTTATTGTAATAGCATTCATTTTCAGGCATTATGCTAACTCCAATAATATTTCAACAGTTTCCATTCTCATGACAATAACCGATGCACGTGTGTTTAAAGTTTTTCAATGTGTTTTTTAAGTTTCTCAATTCGTTCTCCTTACAAATTGTGACTTCGTTTATAAATGTTTGCTTTTTAGTCGTGAAACACAGAGCAATAGGATTTATAATACGCGCGGCCCACGTCCATCCGGCCGTAACCAGCGCCAAACGGAATACTAGAATATTCTGTTTCTTCAGAGACCGCTGCTTTGACTGTAAAAAACATGGCTTCAATTTGCTGCAAAAATGGAGGCGCTTCAACCACTCTATGTAGTGTCGCGCACAGGTGTCAAATGTTTTAAGTAACTGAGGTGTCTGGGACAAGAAGCCAATCAGCAGGCGTGCTGATCAAAACAATACGTAAAGTGTTTCTGGAAGGAAGAGGAAGAGAGATTTTTGGAGGTGGTAGAGGAAGGTTAGAGCAGTGATATGGAAAAGTACGGATCGTGGATGCGGAGGGAGGCGGTGAAGAGAATGGCGGTCGTATCTCGCATAACGCCGAAGTTTTTTTAAAAAAGTTTACGAGTTTATAAACCGTTGGCTGCAATGGAAGCGTAACTCAAAAAAAATTAAAGTTAATGCACTCTCTAGAATTGCAGCTTGGCCTAACCTTCCAGCAGAAACAGCATCATATCTTATAGTATAGTACAAATTGCAGAAGCGTGAATGCAAGAATGCGCATTTCAATACAGAGTGAAACTTCAAACTCATTTATGTCAACACCGGAAAATTTTTGGAAACGTCCAATGGCTTCAGGTAAAATACTCCCAAAATTCAAAGAATTCGTTTCAGATTCGCAGAGGATCGACACGAACCAGGTCGACCACGGAATATTCATTTTGAAAAGAAAAAAACCTTTGAATGTTTGAGGTGCTAGTGTTCACGGCCGGACGGTCGGATGTTTAAATAACAACACTTTTTTGGTGTCAGGATATCCATGTACTTTCATTAAAATCTCGAAATCGAGTTTCCAAAATATATCATATTTTTTTATTTCTTATACACTAGTGGACCTGGCAAATGCTTCGCTATTGCAATGTATTACACTTCACATGCTACTGGTCACGTGATTGTTAATCACGTTTTACGATACGCTCTGCAAACATTTCAATAGACGAAAGGCTTTCTCACGAGTCTCTCTCCCCGTCTCTCTCTGTGACTCTCTCTGTCTCTTTCTCTGACTCTCTGTTTCTGTTTGTTTCTCTTTCTGATTCTTCCTCTGTTTCTCCCTGTATCTGCCTTTCTCGGGAGAAATTTCGCGATCGCAGGGGCAGAATACGCAATGAAGACGTCTTAATTAACGTACTTCATGTGCGGTGGGTTGCGTAGAGAGCGCCGTGTCGTGAAGTGCTCAGATCAGGGCCCCGAGTCTACATAAAATCATTATCACCGCGCATCTATGTGCGCAGGCATATGCATATTCCCATAGATCTACGCCTATATTCTTCCCGGAAGTGCAAGCAATACGTTTACAAAGTTTTATCGCAACCGAATGAACGGTATTGCAGCGCATTAAGCACGAACAACAAACAAACGTTTTTATATATTAGATATATTACCTATATTACTTCGTACATATGAACGTATTCAAGAGAGAAAGTGGATGAATGCAGAAGAGGAGGAGGAATATGAAATAGTGACGAGATGCTACCTTCTCGTGAAGAGGGCCTCGGACGCCTTCCGCGGGTGGGCGGGTGTCGCCTCCAAGGCGGAGGAGGCAGCGATAGCGCCGCCCTTGTTCTTGCTGGGGTTCTTCGAGTTCTCTTTGGCGGCTGCGCTATCCTCTTCCTGCGGACAACGAGGAGCAATGGAACTAGGCAGTCACACAATCAATCTTTCGTCATAAAACATTACTTTTTGTTTTAATCCTCAGAAAAAATAAAATATTAAGATTAATATAGTTACGAAGAGGACAACGGAACATAACAGCATTGTTATGTTAGAGACAATTTTAATAATAACATTCTTTGAACTCTGGTTCTTATGCTACACTGTAAATCATTATATCTGTGAACTTAAGACAGTGCACATCAATCTATTTTCGATTCACGGTGGCGTCCATCTAAACCAGGATATGAATACACCACCAATATGCACGTACCAGCCGCACTCAATCAAACTAGATGAATGTATTATGCAGACTAGAAGAATAACCCCTGACGACGGAAGAAGTTGTTAGATAATCGAGGTCACCCTTTCCCTCTTGTTTAGAAGAGTCCCTCCGCTAAAGCATGTTCTATCACCTTCTTCCGAGTTACATACCAATGTTTCTTTCCTTTTTTCCAACAAGCTCAACAATCAACTCTTTTTCCCTAAAGAAGGCTGTTTTTTTAGAATAAATTCCTCCCTATTAACTAATGTATTGAATTAAGAACATTGTTGATAGTTTATTATTATTATTATTTAATATTAATTTTATTATTATTGTCTCTTATGTTATTTCAGTAGTATACGTATCTTTTGCGGCTCTCACACGCAACTGATTTTCATAAATGAGGTCTGTAAAGAAAGAGAATTTCACGTATACGTGACTAATTATACTTTCACTTTAAAAATATGAAGAATTTGTTTAAAAAGCGAATCTAAATATTAATATAAAATGCAACCCGTAACACTAGGTCAGATGTATCTTCTTTAAATAATTCCTAAACGAAGCGTTCTAGAGCCTTAAAAACTAAACTTTTGAGACCAAAGGCCTTAAAGAAGCATTTGTCATACAATAATATACACGATGAGATATTCTTTGACGTACTATTAAATTTTTGTCGGTACGGCGCTTATCGGTACTCCCAATACCACCTATTCATGGAGGAATGCAGACTATATTCTCGATGGCCATATTTTTCAGTCCTTGGTACTGGTAGTCATCTTTGTGACGTCAGGCTTAGACGGCGTTGATTTTTGTATTGTATCCTATTTACTATTTCTGTGTACACCGTGGTTTGCGCATACTGACGAGATTTATTTGCATAATTATTAATTCAAGATTTGCTTTCGCAGCGACAACTAGAAGTACTATTAATAGTTGTTTGATACCGATAAAGATGGTTCCTTACGCGTGTAGTGCAACCATTCATTCAACGTTTTTCCCTGGTCTACACGTCCTGTGTACCTAATTGTGGAGGGAACTACGATGGAAACGGACCTTATATTTCCATTTTTGTTTGACGATACCCTTAAAAAATTAGTGTGGGGTTTACCATACTAGTGTTCTCAGACAGATACGCTAGTTACATTTACTTCTCAATCTTCCATTTAGTCGAGAAAAATTGGTTGGGAGTTACTGTTGTAAAATTGACTGTTACTGTCACTTCAGAAGATCGGAGCAACTTTTATAAGAGGTTCCTGACCAAGTATCACTTTTGGAGAATGTGGCCAATTCAGAGCGATGGTGTTGAGGGGTTGCAGAGCTGGCTCACCTGCGGCGGAGGCGCGGGGAGCAGGGCGACGCGGCGCGCGCGAGGGGGGGCGCTGGGCCCAGCCCGGGGCTTCGGCCGGGCGCCTCCCGCTCCCGACTCGCCCGCAACCCCCGCAACCCCCGCGCCGGCTCCTGCTGCCGCTGCGAACACAGCAAATTCCCTTGCACTCATTATTTCGTGAGCCGCCAATTTTTGAGAGCACGAGCCGACACTGTCATTTGGTCATGCTTCTCTGTATCCATGCTTCATTAGTGGTATTTGAAAATCAAGGACGCCTGATTGTACCCAATGGAGATGACCAGTTTTCACGAGTTTTCTCTAACTTCGGTTCAGTACACAAATGGGCCCACACGCGCTCGCAATACGGGACAGTGTTAAGCGACCGAGTAAACACGAACATCTGCATCTGTAATTCGAGGGATAAAAATCTCACGAACGAAACTCGCTGACGATTTTCTTAAGGGCACGTGTTCTTGGTGACTTGATGGCTAGTTACCTGAACGTGTGCAGCTCTGTGCCAGGCAGAGTGACAAGTTGGGACCTGCCCTCGACCAGCCAAATGCGCACTCTTGTCTTCAAGAAGGCGAGCAAAGGATGAGTGGGAGCGATGAGGGCACAGTTACAGCCGCTGTCTATCCATATCCTCCGCCCTTTCGTTGCAGAGCGAGGATGCGCTTGTGCACGATATTCAGCGGGCAGTGGGGACGTTTTGCACAGCTTATTGTTAAACAATAGAATTTACGTTAGTTACTTCCACGTGCCGTTTATCGTTAGATTATTAAAATGACTTTGCACTAAGTTTTCGGTTCAAGACTTCAATAATTAAAAGCGTTCCGAACCGTGACGGCGAAGTGTTTAAAAGATTATCAGCACTTACATAGATATTAGAGTATGACATCATGATTCAACTATCAAACTTCAATAGAAGAGTTGTTATAGTAAATGTTAGTTTGTGTAAGTGGGGGCCTCTTTGACAGTTACTGTTTGGCCACTTCTGGCAACATAACAGCTGGTTAGGTCCATGCTCTTATTTTGTCAGTGCGTTCGTTCACCGTTAGATCATTTGTAAATGGCTTCACCACTATCTCTTGCAATATCATCGCCCTGCCTGACGTTCATTTGTTTCCCGACTTGCCAAATTGGTCTCTTCTTAAAGTGCTTCTCAACACTAAATTTACTACGAGCAAAAAGGAGTACAGACTTCGGTTACAAATAGGTAAGTACACATGTTGATTGTTTATATTAAGAAATGTTGACTGATGTTGTGGGAAAGGGAATGTTTCGTAAAACATCAGCGAAGAAGGCATGTGATTGCAGTGTATTTTTGAAATAAAGCCAAATGCCAATCTCAGCATCGGGGTAAACCTCCCAATTATCATTAGGTAGCCAGCAAATTTCGAGAGCACGAACCGACACTGTCATGCACTATAGTTTTATGTATCCGTGCTTCATTAGTGGTATTTGAAAATCAAAGACGCCTGTTTGTAACGAAATGAGATGACCGATTTTCACGTTTTGACTCCAATTAAGATGATAATTTTTGTTTTTCAAGTTTGGACTCGACTCACCCGACTTTACCGCACTATGTGGCAGACGATATCAAAACACACAATTATCTTAACAGGAAGTAACAATTTATTCGAAACATACTTTCTAGAACCGTTTCCCACCTGTGCGCGCGCGGCGCGGTGGCGACGGCGGCGGCGGTGACTGTGGCGGGGGAGGTGATGGCACGGGCGGCGGCGGCAGCGCGAGCACGGGCCCGCGGGCGGCGCGCGCAGCAGCCTCCTCGCGCAGGCAGCGCAGCACCGCCTCGGCGCCCGCGCGCACCACGGCCTCGGCCGGGAAGCGCAGCGGGTTGCCCTGGAGCTGCAACCCGCGCAGCCGCGCCAGCGTCCCTGCGCACACCACAGCACGCGCGCCCAATGCCGGCGGCCGCCCGTTTGCGGAAGCCTTACGCACGAAGATTGCTGGAGAAGCAGTGGCGAAGCGTGGGGTTAAGTTTTGGATAAGCTGCGTCACAAACGTATTGTCAACACACATACTACTTAATTTGTGAAATATTGAATATTTCGAAGATGGATCTCAGAACACTACAAATATAGTAATACTAATAATAATAATAATAATAATAATAATAATAATAATAATAATAATAATAATAATAATACCGAGCGAAGTGGCTCAGCGCGCAGATTCGCAATCGAAAGGTCCGGGTTCGATCCTCAGTCCGGCCATTCTAACCGGGGTTTTTCCTGGTTTCCCTTGGTCATAACGCGAATGCTGGAATGGTTCCATAAAAGAATACCTCCCTCAATCCCACCACCCACCATCATCCCATTCCTTTCACCCCTCATCATCACCCTATGATTTCAATAATAATAGTAATAATAATTATTGTTATTATTATTATTATTATTATTATTATTATATTATTTGGATTTGGAGTGTCTATTATTTGACTTAGAATTACGTAAGAGTGCTCATTGTCAATGAGACACAGCAACATGCAGTTGCAGGTTAACATTTGACTTGTAACCTACAAACCAATACGCTATTCAATCAACTTACGAAGTGAAATTACACTGATCAGAACCTGTTTGATCTTTCCACAACAGAATACTACTCGGGGATTCGCAGCCTCACCGTGATACCACACAATAAATACTTAAATTCAATGTTTTTTAAATGATCTTGTTTTATTAAAAGTTTACACAATGCTAAATAATGTGGGAGAAAAAAGTGAACATTCGCAATATTGTACTTAATGAATTAGCGACAGATGAATTCTAATACTGAAATTTTGAATAAATAAATGTTTTACTCCTGAAGTTATTAGTGATATTTGAAGTTGCTCAATAACCTCTAGCGGACATGTCCGGAATTTCCACGCATGCTTGTGGGGAAGAGAGCGTCTGTCGGCAAGAGTTTCAATTACTTGTACAGTTGTAAGACGGGCCTAAACTTCACCGAGCCAGCTGACTCAATGTCCATGCCCGCTCACTTCCCCGCGCCTCGTCCCAGGCCTGTTGCTGTCTTCCGGCGTAGGCGGACGAGACTCCGTTCACCGTGGATCGGTTTTACCGAACAAAGAGTAAGAGTTTACTCTGGAGTAAATCATGTTTACTCGAGAGTAACTTCTTGGAGCGTTTCACCAACACTTTACTCGAGTGTAAATCGCTTACACGAGAGTAAATTCGAGAGTAACTTTACCCTGCGAAAATCCGTCGGGTAAAGTACGAAGTAAATTCAGTTTTCAACGTGCATGTACCTCCGAATTGTTGTTACGGCTCGACGATTACGAATGATAGTATTTGAAGACGACGCCAGCAATGTTTCGGAATATTATCCAATAGTGCGAAGACAAAGGGTGCAGGAGAGATTGGATTGGTTTTAATTATGACGATCGAGATTTTGTCACGAGGTTATGTTTCACCATATGAGTTGTTAACTTCGTCAGATACATTGTAAACTGTAGAAAACTTGTAAATTTATTTTTCGCACATGTGGATACGAAATGAAGATATTACGTACCGTATACGATAACAAAAGGAAAAATAATAACTACAGGGACTACAAATATTTATTTATTTAGTAAGAACTGTATATGACGAATGGGGGAGATCATTCGCGCTCGTTTTCTTCAGTTCCAGAATCCCTTTCTAACATTTCAACTATAAATTTAACTCTCAAAGTTGAATACAAGTTTAAAAAATAAAACTAATAATAATAATAATAATAACAATGAAAATAAAATGTAGAAAACGCGAGATCAGCAACATTTAAAAAACTAAACATTTTCGTTCTAGAGTTATGGAAAATTTATTTGCATCGCCATCGGTAAACGATCTGCAAATTTGATTTTTCTGCATTGCTAACAAAACAGTAACTCATCTCCAAAGAAGAAAAATGAGTATTTATTAAGAAATAAAGATTCAAAAACTACGAAATAAACTCTGCGAACTCAAATCACGATAACACCGCACAAGATAATAATGCCAAGAACTCTGAAACTGAAATGAATGATAGAATATAAGGAATTAATCAAAGGTTTGCGTTGGTCCGCAGTGGTTCCCAGCGTCTCTCTTGCTCACAGCCTCTTGAATCGCTCTCAAATATTGCGCGTTCAGCTGATTTGCGGAGTAAATCGGACAGTATGTATCCTAGAGTAAAATAACCCTGTGGAAGCATGGTGAAACGCTTATATTCTACTTGAGAGTTACTATCTTAGAGTAAATGCTTACTCTCGGGTAACTACTTTCAACTTTACTCCTCTGTTGGTGAAACCGGCACCGTCTGCAGCACCGGGCGGTGGCAAAGAAGCTCCGCATTGAATATGCATAAGAACAGAAAATTAACATGGTGTGTGTACGTAGGGTAATAATTGGCTACAAAACGACATTATGAATTTACAATTTTCTTTCTTTAGTGAAGAGATATTTCTCGTCTTCTTCAAGATTCTACAATAGTTCAGCTCACTCTGGCTACCCTGACGCTTCGCCACTGTAGAGACGGGAGACTTTTGCGATATTTTTCAAAGTCGCAAAAATGTACATGTTTTGACTGATTGATCATTTCATGTTTCCTGGCACGTCAACTGCTACGGCCACTGGTTCCGTAAGAGTTGTGAACGTATTGACACGGGAGGTGGTGTTCTTCCTCCACTGAATGGCGAGTTCCGGCGCCGACCTACATGCCAGCTAGCGGGGTTTTATCCATCCAGGTATATCCCACCAGAGGAGCATCGTCCAATCGGCACAAACTATAAGCTCCCTTCTTGTGTGGCAGTGTAATGCATGATAGCGTAAAGGTGTGTAGGGTCTGAGGGTAGGACATGGAACAGGAAGGAAAATCACGCGCGGTTCGTGGGCAGTGTTTTAAGAAAGTGCTTCGACATTCGCCTGTCATTGATAGGCGAAACCATGGAAAACTATCGATCTAAGGAGCTGGACACTAGAATTCTCCTCCAGGCAGCGCTGAATTCGACGTAGCTGCTGTCGAAAATCAGCAACTTTGAGGACTCCAACCCTAGCACCTTCCAATCAGAGTTGCTGCAGAGACATCAGTTAAAGCCCTGAGCCACCTCAGCTGATCATGTATGAAATAACTATGAAAGTGTTTTTTACATGAGCCTAGACTTACACCAAACTGAAACAACGAGTTACGATAACCGCTTACAATGACGTCACCAAAAATTGTAAACTTCGACACGCTAGATTAGGAGTTTCACAATTTCTGCAATTGCTCATGTACACGCCTTTAACAAACTCGCGAAAGTACATTTCGCAAGAGGTGGACATGCAGCGCCTTATTACGCCTGAAAACTTTAAAATGTCCGGAAATTATAAGCTTATTTGTGTCGGCATCGCGCCCAGGAAATTGTTTTTTTCTTCGGTTGCCGTCTATTTGAGCCGTCACGGACTCTGACAAAGGTTGCTCTACAGATAAGCGTCCTCCTTTTGCAACGTCAAAGAAGCAGCCCGGCCGCGGTGGTCGCCCAATGGTTTGAAAACACGAATACAAAGTGGCCTCAGCGATAAGAGAGGAAGAGCGTGAATAATACCTCCGAATATAATAGTTATTAATTGCGAACTAGCACGGTACAATGCTGGGTAAAGATCACGAACATTATTCTTTGGAAGAAAATAGTATTTTCTGAGCTATGATTAACCTTAGGCTCAAATATTGTACACATGTTGGTTCATTAGAAGGAGCATGCGGTATTGCCCCTTGGTGCGGACGAGACTCGATAAATGATCTTACTGCAACCCGCCCTGCATTTATATATTAAGGGATTGCGTTAAAGTAGTGTGTTCAGAGGCTTGTCTGAGCGCGACTGGAAGGTGCCGGGTGTGGTGTTGTGGGGTAGGGCGGGCAGGGGTGCGGGGTTCGGAGAGGTTAGGGGGAGGCAGGGGGAACGGAGAGATGCAGGAGAGAGGACTGGGCGGAGCAGCAGTGGCGGCTCGTGCCTATTCGCACGTTCGCATGTGCACACACAAATTAATTCGGTGTATTTTCTCTTAGATATCTCTAAACAAGAGGGGGATACAATTCCTCTCAGAGTGTTTCCAAACATGGAATTTGAAAGCACGCGCCGTCCGGAAGTAGCGATTGATAGTCCGCCACCAGTGCCCTTTGAGAAAGCCAGCCGGCGCACACTCGGGAATAGCGAAAGAGTAAAGCGCATCGTAGGCTGTCGCGGGGCTGGAGGGGTAAGAAGGGAACAACACTGGCTCTATGGACGTAAGGAGCATTTGGCAGAGTGTGCTATTGATACTGCGTCTGCGCAATGGCGATCTCACCAAGTGCCTTGACATGTCTAGAAGTAGAATACTCAGCTAGCACAAGTTTGTAGAAATAAGTTTGACATTGAACGAATGCAGTGCGAGATATCTCTCCACTGAAAAGAGCTCTCATCCCTTCCAATGAGAAAGCTCTTCACTAGCGCGCGAAACGCGAACGCATTGCTGTGCAGTTGCATTCATAAGAATTGTGATAATTTAATATTATATGCACTCTCTCCCTCTCTCTCCCCCCTCCCTCCCTCCCTCTCTTTCTCTCCCCCTCTCTGGTTTAATAATAAACCAAAAGATAAATGGGTGCGCGGGTTATTGATTTGTGTGCTGATTTGTAATTTAATATTGCGCGCTGATTATTCTTCTGATAACAATTATTCTTGATTTTAAAAAAATGTTTTTCTTACCCAACTCCAAAGGAAGAGTTTCAATTTTGTTGTTTTTCAGAAGCAAGGTTTCCAGATTTTCATGATTGGCTATTGTTGAAGGAATACATTGCAGGAAGTTATTCCTCATATCTAGCCATTTTAGATGTCTGAGAGTAGGGAAGAAATCATCAGGTAAAACAGCAATTTCGTTCTCTTCCAAATACAAAAACTGCAACAATACATTAATGCATAATAATTGTTTTGATTAATGTAACAATTGATTAGTAGGGAAATTCCCTGCTCAATTGATGCCTCATAATTCCTACTATTTTAATGTTATGGTGAAATTCTCATTCTTATACATTTATTATTACAACTAATTAATAACTCCGAAGGAATTCACTGTTATGATTTTATTAGAATGAAATAACAAACCGTTTCAATTTCTCGCAAATGTGCCGAAAAGCTACCATTAATATGTTTCTAATTTTTACCTCCTGATAGTGTAAATAAAGTTGGTAACATCGAGTATTTCTATAAATATTTCGGAAGTTCAGTATAGCGTCAAATACACACATAACTATCAAGGGAATGGACATTCAAAAGTATGTAAATCTGTGAGGGAACTCAAAACACATAGCAATACTCGTATTATTAACATGTGCAAAAGTGCATGAGAACTCATTTGCGTAAACTGATGTAGATGTTAGATTCCCAGAAAGTCAGTGAGGTAACACTCTTGGAGGAAGAGGTCAGATGATGCAATCAATAAGATTGAATAGGTTTTATGAATGTACAATCAAGCAGAATACATAAAGCAACAAGGTGTATTGGCGCATTTTTTTCATACTTCTTATACAAATGAGAACCCGCCAGACTATTTGTGCTCCACAAGTAAAGATTCATGGTGTAAGTACCATTCGAAAGAAAATACAATCATAAAAACAGATTGCCAGCTGGACTCAACTTCATTTATTACAAACAAATTTATTGGGAAAATGTTACGAAGAAGATCCAAATCTCCCATGAAAGTGTGAACAATTTAATTTGGCTTACGAATGCAACACGAGTGCTTGTAAGGATAAAAAAGTTAACTATACTATTTATTATTTTGGAATGAATGTTTCAGTAGGAACTTACAATAAAGGGAACATTATTAAATGTTAGGTTTCCAACCAGGACAAACCATTTCTGCAATGCAGCAAGTGGATAAAAAATAACTAACAGGTGTAGCAAGAAGAGAAAAAGGTTTAAAACACGCAGCAATAAACTGTACAAAGGAAATTAAAACTAGTCGAGGAAGCCAATTCTCTATCGTAGAGAGGCAGGGATGCAATAGCCAACTCCCTACTAACATGTTACAAGTATGTACTTCACCTTCCAGGTCATTAACCCAATGTCGATCAGGTTTTTGTCGTTTCCCTGACCCATTGAGCAAATGCTGAGATGGCCCCTTGTTTTGATTCTGGACATGAATGCAGCTTCACTATGCGCGTGTTTCCTTGTACTTGTACTGGTAGGAGTGAAACCAGGAACGTGTTAGTATTTTGTTAGAAGTGAAAAAAATCAAATCTGCAGTTCATTTACCAATGCAAATAACTTTTCTGTGACTCGGGAGGAGAAATGTCTAGTTTTTTAAATGTTGCTAATCTCGAGCTTTTTTAATTGAATTTTATTATTATATTGTTGCTTCTTTTTTTAACTTTTAATCTTTGAACTCTTTATAGTTAAAATGTTGTGAAGGGATATTGGAGCGCAAGAAAACATGCTCTCCCATACGTCACATACAGTTTCAATGTTCTTTGACTCAATAAATCAAATTTGAATCTGTGGAAGTGGGGCCCAAGCATCCATGTCCTTAAAAAAACATGTGAGATGAATTTACCAAGCAGTGCTTCCGAATGATTCACGTTTATTTTGAATGCACCGTGCAGTAGGCCCGTCTTCCCTTGGCTGCAGTTCTTCCATTGACTCCAAGGGATTTATTGTAGACTCCTTTTCCATATTTCTTCCACCGTTGTCATGTCGTTATATCGACAGGACATCCCTACGATGTCGATGTCACGTTTTCTTCATTTGACATAATGTGGAATACGCATGCTACCATATGCGCAATTAACACCATCCTTCGAATGAAGACGAGATGGTCCAAACTGAAGCTCCATAGAGCTAAACAAATGTGACTATCAAAACTTAGCAGCTTGTTCTTCTCGTGACTAGGCTCTTTAGTGTTCGGCTTGAGTACCGTCATGTATCGTTTACCACCGCCGCTTTTTTGGTAGTCTCTAAACGACAAGCTTGAGTCGATTCTACTAAGACCAAGCTTAATGAGATTTAATGACAGCCGACCTTGAGAGTAAATGTTCCTCTTCACTTCCTGCTAATCACCCGAATCACTAACTAGGTAATCGTTAATTACACACCAGGTACTGGGTTAATTTCTAGTTTTGTTTATGTGAATGGGATAAAAATACCTCGAAAACATTGTACGTATTCAACCAATAAAATGACAAACCTTTTTTGTGGATGAAGTGCATATATATTTTTTTAATTTCCTTCAACCATTAACCCTGACTGTCCAAGAGTAAATGGGATCTGATATTACCCTTACGATACTAAGTAGTGACAGTCATAATAGATTTATAATAGAATAACTCTTTGTACAAATTGAAATTAAGTTTCTTAGTTATAATTTTTAAGACTTCATCAACAATAATTTTTGATACATTTTTACGAATATATATTTTTTTTAAAATTCCGGCGCGCGGAATCCACAGGGCGTCCAACTGCTTATTTCGCTTGAAGATAAATTCTAGTCCGCCCCAAGTATCGGTCGCCTCTTTATCAGCAGATGCTATTTAGGAAAATGAATGGCAAACAAATGTGGTCAACAATCAGAATCAATAATAGAAGGTTTTCGTTCGGCTGACAATCACAAATGTTCCGCAGCATGCAGAGCCCGATGTAACTGCAAGCAAAATAAGCAATTGCTTTTGGGCCCCCATCCATAGGGGTCCCGTGCCCCGGGGAAAAGTTTCATAAAACATTAAAAAAGGAATAAAAATGTAGTCGTAAAGTAATTGCTAACAAAAGTCATCGGGACTTAGAAGTTTATGTAATGGCGATCGAAATGATCGAGTCAGCCGCCACTACTTTACAGGCTCGCCGAGAGCGAGACAACCTTCAGCGACCCGCAGCGAGGGGGCGTCGCGGGGGCATTGAAACGGAAAGAGCGCGAAGGGCTGCCGGCGTCGGTCCCTTTACCACACCCCTCCCCACAACCACACGACGGAGAGCGGCGGACTTTTGTTTCGTGAGCGATAGCAGAAAGTGTGTGCGAGTTCAGATTGTCACAGTATAACGACCCTGCACTTTCTCTATTGGACTGACTACTACATTTCTGTGACTCGACTATGCGTTGGTACATGTCCACGCATACTGGTTTACCGTATTGTTATTTTAATTTTTGATTTTGGAACTGCGGAAAGCACTTGAAGTAAAGTTGGACTTAACATTTTTTGTTCCTGTTTCATCCTTGGTAACTATAGTTTGTAATAAATTTTTCTGAAATATTTAAGAAATATTAAATTAGTCTAATATTAAGTACAGAATAATTTTTGCGACTGCGCGTACACATTGTTTATGATTAATTCCAAATGTTCTAGGGGCGAAATTTTCAGTTTTTTTAGTAAATGTGAAGGATTTTTTTCTGAAGGGAAGAGGTTCAATAAGATCTGGTAAGGGGCCTCGCAGTATTTAAATCCGGCCACAAGAGCATTAATAAAATGATTTTTCTGGCATTAAAAAGTGACGCCGTGAATAGGAATTACTATTAATCATAGACAGTTTTCAAAGAATACCTTAATAAGATTTTTTAAATTTAAACAAATCTCAGCGAGAAACTAACTTCAAAATGTGCCAAAGCAAAAGCAGTCTCAATGTCAAATCCCGCACCAAGCTAAGCGGTCAACCGAGCAAGGGCCGTCTGTGAACTTCATATTAAATACACTCTGAAGTGGCAAAAGTCATGGGATACCTCCCTAATATAGTGTCGTGCCTCCTATTGCCAGTCGCAGTGCAGCAACACGTCGTGGCACAGTTTCAACAAGTCGTTGGAAGTCCCTTATAGAATATTGAGCCATGCTGGTCTATAACAGTTTATAGTTGAGAAAGTATTGCCGGTGCAGGAATTTGAGCACGAACTGACCTCTCGATTATGTCCCATAAATGTTCGATGGGATTAATGTCGGATGATCTGCGAGGCCAAATCATTTGCTCAAATTATCCAGAATGTTCTTCAAACCGATCGCGAATTTTGGCCGGTCACATGACGCATTGAGGTCCATAAAAATTCCATCGTTGTTTAGGAACATGAAGTCCATGAATGGCTGCAAAATGGTCTTCGAGTACTAGCTGAACATAACCATTTCTAGTCAATGATCGGTTCAGAGGTCCCAGTCCATGTAAAAACAGCCCACACCATTATGGACCAGCTTGTACAGTGCCTTGTTGACAACTTGGGTCCATGGCTTCTTGGGGTCTGCGCCACACCCAAACGCTACTATCTGCACTTACCAATTTAAATCGGACATATTTGACCATATCACGGTTTTCCAGTTGTTCAGGGTCCAATTGACATGGTCACAAGCCCAAGAGGCGCTGCAGGCGAGGCCGTGCGTTAGAATAGGCATTCGAGTCGGTCGTCTAATAAGGCCAAATTTCGCCGCACGTCCCAACGGACACGTTCGTCGCACATCCCACATTAATTTCTACCGTTATTTCACGCAGTGTTGCTTGCCTGACAGCACTGACAAGTCTACGCAACCGCCACCGCTCGCACTCATTATGTGAAGGCCGTCGGCAACTGCGCCGTCAGTGAGGAGAGGTACTGCCTGAAATTACAGTGAGTGTAAAACGTATTCGTACACCAATGCATTTTAACAATTATTGTGCTATAATTGACTCATAATCAATAGATATTTACATGAAAGTATTAACCAACTAAAATCTTTTCTGCTTCACAACTGTTTCTATACAATTAGAGACTAAACCGAACATCCAAAAGGAAAGTAATATTAATTTTAACAATATTTAATGTATTCTCTACCATTTGGATTGTATAATTCTAAAGAACCTGTAACAAGTATTATACTTCAGCTTCTGGATCAACCCCCACCTCGATCAGGTTTTCGTCCAGTTTCCCTGATCCTTGAGCAAATGCTGAGAGGGCCCCTGTTTTTCTTCTGGACATAAATGTAACTTCAAATTAACTTCTCTCCATAACACGTCACACAGTTTTTGACGCAAATAAATAAAACCATAAGTGTACGGAAACGTTAATTCCAAAAACAGAAGAAAAACACATGTACAAAGCAGATAAAACTGTTAAAACTTCTTGAAATGCGAAACATTGGGACCAACAAGTATTCGGACAGCAAGGACAACTGAAACGGTTTTGGCTTCCCTACGTCTGACCCGTGAGAAATTTGTGACGCTAGAAACGGTATACAGCAGTGGCCTTGCATAGTGTTTGATAGATATTCGACAGGCGTCTACGCGTTTTATGGAAAGAAGAAATAGGTCGTAAAGGGAAGGAAACGTCTTTGGAAGAGAGAAAAATTATCATCAGATAGCATAATCAATGCGGGAAATTTCTCAGATCAACCAAGGAATGCCATTCAGGGAGTCATTGATAGGTTTAGTGTAAGGAAAACATTGAAAAACGTGGACGTCCAATGAAGCTTAGGGGAACAGATGGTCGTGCAATTCTACGGAAACTGAAGAAAATACACGATTTAAAACACCAAAAATAGCAAGTGAACTTGAAAATGAATTGCAGATAAATGCACGCGACAGTACTGAGCGAAATTTTTATGAGCAAAGTGGCTACCATGGATGAGTAGAAGAAAATATTATGCGAATGAAGTCAATAGAAGGACAAGGTTAGAGATAGCAAAAAACATGTAAATAAATCTCATTCGTAAATAATAACACTTGTAAATAATGACCCTTTCACATGGATCACTAGAGTACAAATGAAAGCTCTGCCATTGCACAGCCCTTTTATATCTTTTGTACGCGATACTACTACCAACTGTATACTATTTGCATATTGCTATCCTTAGACTTTTGTCATCTCACCGTAAAATATTATCTTCCTGAAATAGATAATAAAAATTGATTGTTGTTTATACTGCGGTATTATAAAGGTATCTAACGATACCATTTCTATATAATTACGCGAATTTGACCCAACAGGGATACAATCATAACAAAATTTATTGTTAGTTGTTATAGTCTACGTGATGGTAGCAATATTGTAATAGAATGGATTGTATTATAATTTTCCATAATATTTCAATAGTAATTTAAATAACATTGATCAACCAAATAATTTGCTTTTGCTTTGGGCTAATTTTCGTATTTTACACATCATTCTTCGAAATATACATACTAATAAACAATAAATACATAATAATTGCATATCTCGCTATAACAAAGTAGATGAGGGTAAATCATAACATTTATCTTTGATATGACTTACCTGTATGTTTTCGCTGTTTTTTGAGTAGATTTCAGTAGGTATTTCCTTTAACATACTTCTCCGCAAATCCACACACTGATCATCTTGTTGGCATTCTGTCATCAACTGTTTGAAAATATCCATTTGAGGAAAATGTTTAAAAGAGAATCACAAAACTGTTCTTAACAAAAGTATTTACATCGATAGCTGGGAATCTTGAATTCTCCTCACATCAGTTGCCATGGCAACGAGCTTCGACCTAATAAGAGCAGAGCTGACTTCCCAAATTGCGACTTTTATTGGACCATAGACTTTCAAGGGCTGATGGACGCACACGCATTCTAACAGCGACCCGCGCGAACGCTTTTAATTTTCAGTTTTGTTAATAAACAAAATATCATTTTTGGCAAATACCTAAATGCAGTGAAAGTAAGAAAAACTAATTTTAAGACACGGGTTACTGGAGTAAAATAAGCTAGAAAATAATTGATATAAGATGCAAACTGGTTTTGCTTAGCATAGGCTAGGAGGAGGATTAACAAATTATTTTCTTCTCCCAAGTAATTATTAATGGAAAAATAAGCTCAAGTTAAGCTACAATAAAGGCATCACTGAATTAAATTGAGTTGATACAATATCTCTGTTGTTATTACAGATGTATTAACCCATCTTTTGGTCTTTTGAATAATTACAAGGATTTGTACATATTTTATTTTAACATTTATAATTAAAACAGAAAATCAATATTTAATTTTCATCAAAATATTATTCCTAATAAAAAGTAGAATTATAGAATTGGTCAAAAGTTCGGACTCATTCACTGATTTTGAGGAATGAACAAATAACACAAGTATTATTCTATAACTTCTCACTTTCAAAATAAATATATAATAAAGTAAGGCAAATTAAATTGGTGTATTTTATTTTTGGGAAATATTCCTGTTATGAATTTCCTTAATTAAAACTAAAGTAACATAATTTATAATTGCTTTTGTAATTATTTATTGAATAATAATAGTGAAAATACTGAATAATTCAACTGTTGATATTAAGTAAAAAATTCTTTTTCTTTTAAAATAAAATATCATATAACAGTCGAGTGTCACCCACAGGGGTCCAGAACCCTCTCTCCTGAAAAGAGAGACATCTGTAAGCAAAGATTTTAATTTTGGTGTATTACAGGTGGCCTGCAGCAGCAAAAAATGCTGCAAAACATAACCACACACATTTTTTTTTCTCGAAAAGTAGTATGCACACTGCTTAAGAACAAATAAAATACTCTCATACAACACTGCAATTAATTAAACATTTTAACAAAAACAATCCTCATGAAAAACAATAACACAGTATAATAGTATTCAGTACAATGCTCATTACAAACTCAAAGATAAAAAGTAGTTGATCCACATTGCAACATGTGAATAGCAAATATTTAATGGTGGCCATCCTTCCTTGGAAACTTCCTTTCAGATGACATCAGCAGTGATAACACAATATGTGTATTTTACAGGCAAAATTGGAGTTTTCCAGTTTTTGGATTTTCTTTAATGTTCTGGGGATTTAACAAAACTAGACATTTCTCACATTGCTGAGGGGGAATTAATTTGCTATCTCTTTCCATGCATATTGAAAATTGGTAATCTGTCATATTTAAGAAGCTTCTTTAGGATGTGAGTTCTTCCCCACTGGCTGGTTAGGATGTATATTACACATATCAACTAGGGGTGCTACAATAGCACTTGCTCTCAAGCAGTATTTGAAACTTTTTGAAAATTCAGAGTACAATGAAAATAAATAATGCTATTTTTATTAGCATACTTTGCATTATCTGAAGGGGGGGGGGGGGTTATGAAAAATCGTTTCTCGCAAAGTTACAAATTATTTAAAAAAATGAACAGAACCTTTTTTAAAGATCTAATTTTGAAAAAACAAATTTCAATTTCAAATATTCCTATTTTCATTATTGTAGTTGTAGGAAGATGCCAAATATCTGTTGAACTTTTGAAATTTTCGAGTTCAACAAAAGTGTGACCTGCTCTGTTTTTTAGATGTACTTTGCTTTATCTGAAGGAAAAAGAGGAGCTATTCTTGAAAAAATTTTGAAAATGTCTTTGGGGATTCATCTTAAAGTATTCTCAAAATCAAAATATTTCAAATTTGAGGGGACATGACCTCAGGAAGATCAATCATGGAATTTCAATTTTGGTGAAAGTCTGCCCCAGGTTTAGACAATAGTATTGTCAACAGATGGCCAGACAAACATATTGACTGAGACATTTGGCCATAGACCAGTTTTGAAATTTCACACAAATGAATTCTGACTATACATTTTAGAGAAAGTTATTTACATTTAAGAACAATTATTCTCCACTTTCTTGGTAATAGGAAGCCACAAAACATTTTTCTGTAGAAGAATTGCTGTTTTTTACTGCAGCATTATAATACTTTCTGTATACTAAGTAAGTAGTATGCAAGAAAGTTAAAAATTTATAAGAAAACTGAATACTTGTGCAAACCATCAGTTGAACTTTCAATCAACACTTTTTTTTATTAAAAAATTTTGAAAGTTAGTTTCTTTATATTGCCCACACATCTCAAAAACATTTAATAATGATATTTAGGCAGTTGGTAATAATTAAAATATCCTCAATATTTTATATTTCTTTCATCCAAAGATGAAATTTCACATCAATAACTAAAAATGAACACACTTCTGACAATGAATATCTAATGACTAAAAATAGAAGGTAATTAACAAACAATAATCCTCAAAATAAGGAAATTATAAAAGCAGTATTGGCATAAAATCTGTAGTTCATTTTTTATTACTTAGCTGGAAATGACAACAGATCAAAATTTTGAAATTTCTGTCAGCTTTTTTTGTTGCCAGTCTCAATGCAAACAAATTGAAGCATCAGGTGCATACCAATGAATGATTTACTTTTGTTAAACATAATATGTAAGGAACTGAAACCACATCACTTTTTTTGTAAATATCAAACGCTTTAAAAAAAAAATATAACATTTTCCCCCCCACATCAGATGTGTAGTGCTCTTTGGTCAGGAAAATGTAGTAACTGCACAGCAGTCAGTGGCATCTCCTGAAAGATGGGGTACAGGATGTGATAAAAAGTAGCAAATAGTTTGTTAATAAAACACTAATTGCCTTAACGACTTACTGAGACCTGGGAGCTCAGATGTAATTGTATAGTTCCTTATTGGTATCCAAAATTATATATAAAAGGAAATATATTCTATTATTAATGATCATATAGCAGGAACTCAAAAATTTACAGAATTGGGGCACAGGAAAAAAAAACAACAAACTTTTGAGCCAATAGACTGTAAGGTCTATAGCCCGCTCATTGTTTCCCAATCAAAATTCATAGAGATATTAAGCAATCAGGTGGGGCTAATTTGATACAAAATTTTGAGTTTTTTTAAAGAGTTGTGGTATGTTTGAAGTTATTTTTTACTTGGTATCAAAGGTTCAGTTTTTACATGTGTTTGTTGTAAACAGTATAGAAGATAAGGTGAAAAGTTTGCTTTTCTTTATCATAAAAGCCTCGATTGACACTCATTATCAAAAATTTGATCTTGAGAACATAGTCTAGAAGCTTGAAGAAAAACTTATACTAACAAGATTTTTAACAGCTATATAAGCAACTGGTGAAGAAAATTGAAACTGCTTCCGCTAAGTTCAAATTCTACAGCTCCTGGAGGCCAATGAATGAAATTATTGGAGCTGAAGTTTGTACAACAGATACATGTGCAAAATTGCATCAGACAGGTGATTTGTACCCATATCGCAAGTAGGCAACCTTCTCGAAGGTCAATGGCCTAGCACCACAATAGAACATACGGAACAGATGTGTTTCTCTTATTGGAAAGCAGTGTTAGAAAACCAGGTACAGTGAACCAATACACTGGTCTGAAACATCTAAAGAAAGGGCAATATATTTTAACCCAGAGAAAACAAGAAACATATTGTAAAGATTAGAAATCATAAAACCAACCGAATAGAGGAATGCGATAAATCACTTGCATCCATTGACACTACACCACTGACTGCAGTGATCTAGTCTGGAAAAATAATGAGGGAATGTTATATAGTAATAAAAGTACCAGATTTCAGTTGTATATCATTGGCTCTCTCATTGCTCTGGTTTTTGCTACTTTTTGAATTAGCAAGGAAAGATGGGGAACCTTGAATTTCAGAATGACAAAAAAGATTAGGATATACAATTTCAGCTAAATATTACAAAAAGGATTGAACATTTTCTTTAAAAGTAAAATTTATTTTGTTGCTTTCAATTTACTAATCTAACTGCTCTGTTTTTTATTGATCATTTCATTATTATTTTATCAGATTACTGGCAAATACATTGTTTCCCACATTTCAATCTTGTTGAATTTCTCACTCTTTCCTGCTGTAGCTGCATATTATGTTCTTTCACTTCTTTATAGTTCACTATTTAACAAGATCTATTTGATATTTACAGATACGATAAAGCCAACCAGTCAAGCATCTCACAAGCAAGATGCATTACATTTGAAAAATAAAGTGAAAATGTAATTACAAATTTGGCATATACCAGATTTACCCGAATATAAAACAATTTTTTTCTTACATATCTCATGTCAAACTTTCGAGGTTATCTTCACAGATTAAGGTTATTAATCAGATCAAAATTTTCAAATATAACAGATCAAAATTTTTAATGGTCCAGTAAAAAGAGAACATCAAACAAATGGCATTGTAGAACATGTAATGCTGTATGAAAATAAAGTGTTGCAAAGATTTTGTTACAAGATTCAAGTAATCTGTGTAGGTTCACAGCTTGGGTCACCCAGCCTCACCCCACGGATTGAATTGGCAAGTTTAAACCTGCCTTTTACAACAGATGGAAATGAATCGGAGGCCGAGGTCATACACATCAGGAAGAAAATCTGGCAACACAGAAGGGAATATTCTTAGGTGGTGTCAGATAAAAAAACCTAAGAAGCCAAATTTGAAGCAGAAAACTTTCAGAGGGGAGCTAAGAAGCCAGAGTGGTCTACTTTAACAGGAGGACTACAAAGAAAGAAATACTAATACATGGGAAGTTTGTTATTGCACTGATAGCTCAGGCAACATGTTTGAACATTGAAGAATTTTCAAGTCAATTACATGATTTGCAATTTTATTTTGACTAAATATTAAGACTTAGTTTAAAAAATCTCAGGATGTCTCTTCAAAATCAAGGGTCATCTTACACTCGAGTAAATATGGTATATTCTAAAATAAATTTGTATCCAAAAAAATGTTTCTCTTGAAAAGTCAAAAGACTGAAATTCTTCTCTGATGAATATCTGAATAGTTTATCTTTCAATATTTGGAAGCTCCTTTGTCATTTTATTGGGACATGTACAAACAACTCAACTGCATATAAAATATTAATAAATTCCACAACAAATACCGCCATTTAATTTCTCAATGGAAGATCATAATTTCTCAACAGGCACTTGAAAAAAATACAGCAACTGAAAAATCAATATACAAAAGAGAATCCAAGAAAACAAATATTCTTCTTCATTTGTCTCCTTACACAAATCGATGAAATAGATGTTTACATTTATTTCAACGTACAGTCAAGTTAACCATTTTCCTGTGGGAATTTAGCACACTTGAGTCAACCTGTTATCTAAATACCATCACTGGTCATTTACTCAAAGCAGCCCTCTATCACACCTGATGAACATTTTCCAATTTGAGCCAGGTGGAATCAGTTTATGGATATTTTTGTCACTTGGTTGCTCATGACTAGCCAACACACATGAACCCAAGTCTCCTAGAGACACTTTCCATACTATACAAAACGTAAATACTCCACAACAATAACAAAGTATGAGTGGAATGCATCCATAATGCACTTATTACGACAATAAAAATGGGACTTTCTGAAGGAACAATTATTTCCTCTTTTCTTGCTCTTCATCTTCACTTGAATGTGTACATGATCAGTATAGTATGTCTACAATGAATATAAGCATGAGTCTTACCAAAATCCATAGTGCCAATCTATGTAATGGGGATAAAAAAAAAAATTGTTAAAAATTCTACTAAGTTGGACTGGGTGAAAGAAAAAGTATTGGTTCTGGATGAAAGCATCACATAAATGAGAATTAAATACAGTATCAATCATGCGTCTTCCTGCAAAGATACATTAAGAGTACTCTCTCTTTTACACTTTTAGTCTAGTGATCTACAAAATGACAGTTATTTTTGAATATTCCAGTGCTCCTTGAAAGTCATATTCTTCACCAAGTAAGTCATTGATGAAGGCTTGTAAAACAATCTATACAGATCATGTTAGCACAATTTCTATCCAAAATAAACCATTCAAAATCTCTAGTTTTGAGATTTTTCATAACAACAGTGATTCAGATAAATCCCATCATGAACTACAGGCGTCACAACAGAGAGAAATTAATAAAATAAGTTCAAAATACGTTAGATAATGCCATAGCACAAGGAAATCACAGCATATACGTTATACATTAATGGAACAAGTCAACTCGAAGTAATGCACTTTGTCTGTGAACAGGTACTAGACATATTCTCTTATTCTTTCATCTTGTCCATAATAGTCTTCAACAACATTCACAAGTACTTGGTCAGATTGAAGAGTAAACATTATGAAGCATTTACAGCTGATGAAGGATTAGCAGTAGTAGCAGCAGCAGGAAGTGCTGCTGAGGAATTAGCAGCAATTGATGCATTGGGATCTTCTACTTTCCGAATCTTTTTGATTTTCTTCCACTCCCCTGTGTTATAGTTCATTTGGAAATGGGTCTCCACAGTGGTGGTAATCTGAGTATCATCTGGTTGCAGAACATGCTCTTGGTTTTCACTTAATTTGATAGTCACAATATTGCCAAGATGTGGGCAAGGATTATCTGAAAAAATGTTATTTTATTTATTTAAGGTTCAGATATACTGTTGCAATTATTAGAACAGAACATTAGATTCAATTCAATTTTTTTGCTGAACACTTACTCCTACTCTTGTAATAATAATAATAAAAAAATTCAAGAATAAAATATATAAAAATGGTAATACCTCTTGAGCCTGCCATAAAGCCAAGTATAAGAGCTTTCTCAGGTCTTGTAACCTTGTTGGCAGAACGGAACATTTCTTGTGCTTCCAGCATTTGTTCACGCTAATGAAAAACAAATAAATATAATGATAAGACTACTTGAAGCACATACACAATTCATAAAAAAGCACTAACATTGAATATTCAAATTTTATCCCAAATCTTTTTCACCACAATACTTGTTGTATCTAAGTCCTCTCACAATAATTCCTCACACGTTCAAGAATTCGAGTTTCAAACAATAATAATAAATTCACAATACACTACTACCATTTACTTCAAATATCAAGAACCTCTGCACTAGTGGAATCTCATGACAAGTTTTTCAAGGGAGCAAAAATGTGTGACTGTTTGAAAATGAAAATAACATTTGATCCAGCAACTTTCAATTTGCCATTTTCATATTTCTTTTTTAACAATACAATTATGCAGCAGAGACACTAATTTTCACTTTTTAAAATGCAAATACACATAAGACAAAACCAATTTAATAGAAAATAATAACTGAATAAAAACAAAAGTACATTCAAATAAAAAAACAACTAAAAATAATTCAAATTAACTGAAAAACATAGTGTCCTCTAAACTTATTTAAAAAAAGGATGGGTCCATGATATTATTTTATTGGAAGAAATTGAGTGAAATAAATTAACTATTTAATTAAAACTACCTCTATAAAATATAATACACACACAAATTGAAGGCAACTAAATCCTTTATAAAGGTTTCCCAACAGAAGTTGAAGAACAGCCTTACAAACAGCATACATGACAAGTTTCAATTCACTCTCAAAATTAATTCCATAAACAAAAATGCCCAGAATATTCAAGGAGAAACTACTCACAGTGAGAGAAAGACCCTTGCGTTGCAGAGCACCTCCACTCTGTCCTGCAGCTGGCACAACAGACTGTATGCGAATCTGTGTCATTTGAGGCCTAACTTGAATAATTTGTTTTGTGGCACCAACAGTTTTTGTTGCAACTGTGGTTGGCTGCACTTTACTGGTTCCCGCTGGTGAAGTAACTACTGATGCTGTACTTGTCTCAGGGGCAGATGAACCTTCATTTTGGGCTGCAGTTCCAGCAACATTCTACATCGAACACAGACGTTATTAATTTTTAAAAAGTTCTCAAAACTTCCCCAAATATAGAAATTGTAAGAGAATGAAAAGAAATATGAATAAAAATTGTAATTTTTAATTTAACACAAGAAACATATGTACCTGTGTATTATTTGTAGCGGCAGCTCCACTGTTGCTGATACTTGGAACTGTGGGAGAAGATAAACCAGGATTGTCTGCAGTTTGTGTAGGCGTTTCTGCAGCTGATGTAGAGGGTGTAGCTAAAACAACATGTAATCAACATTTCACATAGCTGCATGGGATTCAATATCTTCACAAATTGTATTATTCAATACAATCAAAAGTGCACAAACTAAACATCATAAAGAAAAATGCTAGATTATTCAATGCAAACTTGTGTTTATAATTACCAATTGCGCTCACTATATTAGTCTAACTTTAACATCCAAGTAAACCCTATATTGCAGTCACTCTCAAATATTCAGTAACACTTCTTTACCCTCTACCACATCTGGCAGCTCCCATTGGCTGCACTATGTTAATATAATTTTTTTTTTATCTTTGACAACCATCCCTGATCTAACGAAATTCATTCTAGCTTTATGAGAATTTGTTGACAAGACTGCCAATCACAAAACAATTAGCAAGCAAATGACCAAGTCTTATAAGTATAATTATACATTGTTAAATGCACCAGTACAATTATCATTACTAGAGCCTGGAAGTTTGGCAAAACGCCTTTATGTTATTATTTCTATTTCACGACTTTTGACAGTAGAAATTACTCAATTGTGCTTCTGGAGTTGTTTTAGTAGATTTTCATTTTGCCTTTTATTGCGTTTTTTTTAGCTTCTAATGCCTTTTTTGATATTTTGACCTATTTTTGCCTTTTAAATCATTATTTTGCTTTTTTTCTCCCCTAGCACCAATCTCGATCAAACTGGATATATACCTGCAAGCCTGGAAAACATGAAGCATGGTTGTATTTTGTCTTTCTGTGGAAGTATCCACGTTAAAAATTTAAATGAAAAAGAAACAATACTAGTAAAGATTTTTGATTTTTTCATTGATGCAGAAAGGCTTTGTTTGCTCATGTGGAATCCCATCCTACTTTTGAGTGTATCGTCTCTTATCCATTTTGAAATACCTTTTTGATATACCCTTCTCAGTGCTGGCGTGTACACAAGTGCAAATGTTGACAAACATATCTCCATTTCTCATAACAACATTTCAAGATTCAAAAGGGAGTCCACAATATTTCAAAGAGAGAGCATGAGAATAAAACAAATTTGTAGTCACCATACCAGATGGTCTCTAGGATAAAGTTTAGACAAAAAAAAAAAAAATTTCCTTACACATTAATTGTTAATGTAAATTGTAGAGTTAAAATAAAAAGTTGAATCATTTTAATTATTTATATTTTACAATATTTCCTTTTAAATGTTATTTTTCATTGTTTACATGCCTTTTTGACCTATACTACAGCTAGAATAAATGCTTTTTTCATGCCTATTTTATTACTATATAGCTAGATTAAATGCCTGAACTTCCAGTACAGTTACACTGATGTTTGGGTTTGATAATCAACATTGGACTTTAAATTCATTTGTATTTCAATGATAAGACATAAGATTTGTGACCATACACATTATTTCCAGACTTCTGAAAAAGCGAGTCACACTAACAAGGAAAGGAGACTGAGCATGGATCATGTCTTCAACAACAAATGCTTCTGGATCAAAAATAGCAAAAAAATCTCCTCTTTTAAACTATTTCCCCCCAGAAATACGTACCAAGTAGAGATGGCACAAGTATTTCAATTAATTGTAATCTATTAATTATTATCACAAAAATAATATTTTGAATAATTGGTTGAAAATAACAATCAATTAATTGGAATAAACAATCCTTGTATAGATGACAGAAACTTGGAAGCATTTTTTTTTGGTAATTTAAAGGTGGATAAACAAATATTGTTAGTAGGGGTAGATTGTCTAAATTGTCTTTTCTACCCATTATCTATGGATGTTGAAGCTTTAAATGTTGAACTATATTTGATGCTTTTTTCCCTCTTTTAGCTGCTATTCATAGTGTTTAGTCTGCATTAAATCAATTATAAGTACGATAACATTTTTTCATGCCTTTCTATTTCCTGAAGCCATTAGAATTTACTTCACAGACTATCAAATGAAACACACACTCATGGTTATTAAAAGTTCACACAAATATAACAATTGAAATTAACCAGAGAACAGATTTTTAAAAAATCTGTGATAACGAGAAAACATAGTCAATTGAAGTTGGATAGTGAATAGGAAGTGAACTCTTTCTTTCCTCTACCTCTGTTTCGTCCAACACTTTCTCTAGAAGGCTGCATTATGATAAAGAAGAATGCAAATTAGGATTCAATCTAATAGGATTAAGAAGGGATTTCATAAGAAAAGTCAAAAGCAATTTGAAGACTACCAGATTATTTAAAAAACAACAACAACCACCACACACACACACACACAACCACCTGTAAAGGGCCTGGGACAAAGGCACTCCGAAAGGACATATTTCTGCCAATAGTTTGGTAAACAAATTTTTACTTGAAAAAATTCACATTTTATATCTGTAACATTAATATTGCACACTACCGTGTCATAATAAACATCATATCATCATCATCATGAACTGCAGGATGTTAGATTTATTGCCTGTTCCAGAGTGCACACAGTAGACCTAGTGGTTTCCTTGGCTGACTGAAACAGTAGCTACTTGTCTGTCAGAAGCAACAGGAAACGCAGCATCCTGGGCACAGGTGCCAATGTTTTGGCCACAGCGTTTAGCGCTGAAGAAGGTCACAGAATGGCCACCAAACCATTGGGGTCTTTACCTATATTAATATTACGAGGGGCATTCAATAATTAAAGAGACACGCTGCTCTGGAGAAATAAACATTTAATTTTGCAAAACACAATGTTTCCTAATTTTCAATATAATCCTCATCAACAATTATGCACATGTCCCAATGGGTTACAAGCTTTTTTATACCGGCTATAAACAACTCTCTATCATGGTATTTGAACCATTTTCCTCGCAAAGTTTTTGACATCCTTGTTATCCTGGAACTTCTTCCCCATAATGCTTCCTTCACTGGACCAAACAAATGGAAATCAGATGGTGCTTAACTGGGGCTGTAAGGGGGAGGAGGCAGTATCTCTCAACCCATTTTGTCGATGGTTTCACGGGTATGTGATCAAATCAAAAATCAAAATCTATGGACTGCCATTTTATTCTTCTCTTAAAGATGTTTCATCATTGTGTCATCAGTGTGACAGCTCTCCCATAAGTAGCAATATAAAATGGGGTTTTTGATTCTGAAAGGAATGTTTTAAAAAAAATGAAGTGTGCATTAACATATCTTATAATTATTGTTACGATCTTTCTTCATAAATAATTTCAATTCCTTGAGTTCACTTTTGAGAACTAGCTAACTCATTTATTTTTGATCGTACACTATTCAACATGAAACTGAATATATTAGTAAGTAGTACTTTCTGAAGCACCTTGCAGTACTTCCCTTTTGACAGTCGAGAAAAGTGGTATGGGACCATCTGTAAATTACAAAACGCCACATGGGGGAGAGGGTTGACGCTGTATTATGCTGCGTTACTTGTGGGTAAGGAAGTGTAAGTTTAGAGTTAAGTAACATTGACTTATTTTTAATTTTTCGACATCAGGTGAAACAATTTTTTTCTATCTTATATCAAAACGTTAAAATAATATTAAATAAATATAATTTAATAGTGAATAATATATATATATATATATATATATATATTATATATATATAATATATATATATATAATATATTATATATATTAAATATATTTTATGAACTTTTTGTTGAATCTGTAAGATTAAGAAGAAAATATTCAAAATTGATAGATCATTTATTCTAGAACCAGTTAATTGGGTGCAATAGATTGTTGTTCATGCGTCATCCACGACGACGTGTGCACGCGTATTAGAAATTTTTATGCCTGTGTATCCTTCTTTCACACAACACTTGTTCTATACCTTATTGTTAGGTGTAGTCAGCATTTACCAATTAATTTAATTATCATAAATTTTAAAATTTAACACAAATATTGTTAATACAAATTGTTTTTTTCTGTTGTATAATTTATTTTTATGTCTTGTAAATGGGAAAGGATGTTTTCACAGGCGCTACATAATTATTTACGGAGATTTAAGTGTGTGTTACAGTCATTTATGGACCGCCCCTATCCACCTATTTAGTACATGTAAGGCTCCCTGTATGCTTGAATGGTATCTTGGCTCTTCCAATTCCGTAACTAGAATTCTCAAACTGAATTCCGGATGTGATTCATGACTACAACCCGGATTGGCATTCAAATGCATAATTTTTTTCTAATTATTACTTGGAAAATGATTATGTATTTGTGTGTCCTGAAACCATTCGAGAGCTAAGGCTGAAAAGTCTGGGACAGTCTTCTTGCGGGGTAATAGAAGTGTAATGGTCACTTCGATCAGCAAATATATAGCTTATATTGATACTTGTGAAAACAGTATTGTATCTTATATTAGTGCATTAACTATCCTCATTTTCTACAGGAGTAACAAAGTTATTATTAAATGCTTATTTACTTTCGCAACGTCACAGGATTTATTTATAAATTTTTACAAATCTGCCCATTTAGAGCATTCCTAATTAAGTTTATTATGCATATTTTGCCATATTTTATGTTTCTGCTTATTTCTGCATATTGAGCATAATTTTTGGAAAAATATAGGGAGAAAAAGAAATAATTTATTAAAATGAAGCTTCTTGACATAGGTGAATTATGAATTATAGTTATTGTGGTTAATGGAGCTCACTAGTCACCATAAAGATGTGAATATCCTTTTATCCTCAAAACTGTTGCCAATGGATGTAGATATAGGTATTTATCTTGTACCTCACAAGCGACCAATGGTAAAATTCAATTTCAGGTGAGGGGCATTGGTCGTGCATTCAGTGTGTCGGGCTAGAATGAAATATAAACCTGTGATCGACCATGGTTTTCTTGCCTGTCAGGAATCATTTTCCGTTAAGTGAGAGCTTATGCTTGGGCATCATTGCACCATGTTCTCTCTGGTTGTCAGTAGGGCTTACCAAAGAAAGTTCTCCAATATCAAGTAGCAGCACCGCAAGCTCATGGGCATGCCCAATGAATACAAATTTCTGAACAGATGAACCAGTTTTTCAGAAGCAAATTAAAAATGTATCTTATCATAAATTTTAATAATTTTACCTCAATATAGAATGTTCTTTGTTCAGTGAATTAATGTACTTTTTCATAAATCTCTCCTCATTCCCAACTATTAGGCTATGAACAAGTGACAGCATTCCAAACATGGTTAATTAAATGTAAAAAATAAAATATTAAACCATTTTTTTTTCTATTGATGATTTGTTTATTCAGTTTTCAAAGAGGCAATACTGTCTTAACACAATTCAAATTTTTCTACAAATATGTTGCAATTCATTTAAGTGGTGAACATTTATTTTTCTTGTGAATTGTATACTACATAATTTAAAGATATATTGTGCATATTATACAGAATATTTTATACAATTTTACTGCGTAGAAATTTGGGCTCTATTCATGACATTAAGGCCCAGCTTTATTCCCATTCTATTTTTGTTTGTTATGGAGTGTCTTTCTCTTGATATGTTCATTGCAACTGTGCAGAAATAGTGAGAGTATGAAGAAACTACTATGGGTCCACAAAATGTGATATATGTGTTAAATAATGAACTAAAAACTCTAAAACGTGAGAACGTAAAATTGCATGCTAGTAGCACAGTGACACGTGGGCAAATACAAGAAGAAGAAAAAGCGTTGAGGAGACCAAATACATCTTGTGAGAAGCGAGAAATAATGAAGAATTGATGAAATGAGAAAGAAGTGGGGAAACAATGATGAAACAAATCATCAAATAATTATAGAGGTTCAGAAAAGTTTTAGTTACTAGTGAGAAATACTTTTTCGGTCTTACTTTGTGATGTTTAAGGTAATTGAGCAGTGCTGCCGAATGATACCACCAAAAACAAGCCTAAGACAGCGAAACATATCAAACATAAAGTAGTGAAAATTATGGCTAATGAAAAATGTATACGTGAGAAAAAGGCATAAATAAAATTGAATATTGTGAGTAAAATAAAAAGTCAATATTTTTACAAATCAGTCATAGGAGTGTTGTGTGAACGCATGTCACCTAATGCTAATAACATCAGCTGAATCGATGCATGTTGGTGCCTTTGCACATGAGTCACTTAACACATGTCGTAGTTTAACACTGCATCTTATGAGAAATGGTACACGAGCTGTCTTGGCAATGTGTGTTGTGCCCACAGCTCACGCTACAATGTAAGTAATGCTAACAGACGTTTCCTAGATTTCAACATGTGTTGACAAGTGTTCTTGTGCCAATTTGCATAAGATACAAAATTTTTCTATGGCGTGGGCTACATGACTCGTGCGTGTAGGGATTTTCTCAACTGATGACATCAGCATTAGGTGACGCACATCAAGCCAACGCTAGTGGGACACAGGCCAAATTGTCATTATAAGTCTTTCATTCCCCCAAGTTTCAATAAGTGTGCTATACCTATTTCCTTTAAGTGTGCTATATTTTTTATCATGCAGAACTGGTAAACATTATGCAACTCCACATTGAACAACACTATTTACTCATCCAACAGTTTTGTCCAAATATTGGACAAAATAGGAGTTGAAACATCCTGCGTAGTGACAAAATTACACAACCTGAATTCTAAATTCAACACAAAAATTCTATGCGATCCCATGGAATACAATAACATAAACGTTCTAACTTATTGGTTACTTATGTCGTTTGGACATTATATGATCTTAAAGGCACTTTCATTATGAACGAATAAGCATGAAAAATTTATAAACATAATATGCACATCTGAAATAATTTAGCATGGGAAGTATAGGAATTTACCAGGGACTTACAGAAACCAATGTAAGAATGTGAAATACATATAAGAGCAAAAACGTATAAATAAAGTTTCACGGTTTTTAAATAAAATGATTTTATGATTTACTTAATGCTGAGATTTCACTGTACTTGGATGACCTATTCCATTGATTCAGAAAATCTCCAACAAGAGTTGGAAGTCCAGAAAACAGAAACAATCTTCGAGTACTCCAAGGCACTAAATGTGCCTTGTGGTGGGAAAAATTGAGACACAACAACAACAACAACAACAACAACAACAACAATAATAATAATAATAATAATAATAATAAAATATCCTCTAGGGTAGATTTCCAAATAGAACATTCACTCTTCAGCCTACCTGCAAGTGCAGCAGCATCTGATGGCACTGAGGGTGTGCTTGGAATGGGATTGTACAGGGGTGTGGGGGCTGCCGGAGTAGGAGGATTCGAAGCGGTGAGACCTGCAGCATAGTCTGGAGTGGAGGGCACAGCTGCAGCACCTGTCGCTGTGCCCTGTTGTGGTGGCTGCTGAGAGGTCTGGTTCTGTTGGGCCTGGGCCTGTTGTGCCAAAGCCACTTCTGTTGCCTTCTTGGCCTCTTCCATTTCTGCAACACCAAAAAATCATCTCAAGAACAATAAGAAAAAACAGAAAGGACATCAGACTAAAGAACTTCGACATTCCTTGGTTTAGCATTATTTACAGTAAATTTCATCTTAGATATCTTGATTCACAATATCAGCAGCTATCCTAAGGTTTTACCAAGGGTTTCTATAACTTTGAGAGTAAAAGAGACAAGATTCATACATTCATCGACTTAAACAGGAAAATTGATATTTGAATTAAATGACTTCTAGGTCTTATAACTAATCCTATGCCTATTGATGAACAAGATTGTTTCACACAAACATTTCCTCCTCCATTCTTTGGGACAGTAAATATGTATCTTTAAATATTTTTTAAAATTATTTTTGAGTACAAAAGAGAACTAGAATCTTATGGACTTACCAAGCATTCTTTTCCTCTTCTTTGCCTGGGCATATCCTAGAGGTTGCTCATTTATATCTAAGAGTTTAATGCCACCATCCTTACGACCAGCTGGAGTACGTGGCAATGCTGGTCGAGCCAAAGAACTCAAAGGAGATGAACGGAAACCTCCCGCAGGAACTCGACTTGGAATCCCTTTTAAAGGAGCTATGCAAAAGAAGAAAAAAACAATAACAATTAGGAACTAACATTATTGTCTTTATTGAAGAAAAACCCAAAACCAAACCAAAAAACAAACAGGAAGTCAGGGTCCGACATACCTTTGAACAAAGATTAAGGAAGTGATTAGAATGTGCGTGAATAAAATAAAAGTAATACTAGAAACCTGAAGTTTCAGTTTAAAGTTAATTTAGATTATCATTATTTATGTTTACACATCCACTGCATTACCAGTAAATTATCACTCCAACTTTGCACATTATTGCAATAATGCTGGATTGTTTATGAATAAAAAAGTTAATCTAACACATCAAATTTACATAAGTACATATTTATTTTATTTTCTTGTGACTTCATGTGAAAGAGGCATACTTCTGAAGCAGTTACTCAATTCCATGATTAGAAAACACTTTTTAATTAGTAACAAGTATGGTTTCGTAAAGTATCTGTGCAGTTGTGTCTAACAACATAACTTAATATTCTCAGCAAAATAACTGAATCCATGCAGATAACTACATACAATTTTTTCAGTTTTATAAAAAACGTTTTGTATTATATGCAGGCACAATTTAAACATTTTTTCTTTGTCTAACAGTTCTGAACAAATATTCAGAAGGCACCCTGTCCCAGTAAGTAAAGAACCACCCAAAATTCTGTACAGCTTTAATATTTATAATATTTGACTGTAATCACTACTAGCAAATTGGCAATTTCAAAGCTTGTAAAATAACTGACAAATATTATATTCCTTTTTGTTGCATTCTACAGTTCACGAAATTTATTTTTTTATTAAATGTCAAATTTTCAGATCTGTGTATTCCGTTTCTCTTTTTTTTTCTTTCAATTTGGGTGAAAGTGTAGTGTATCTGTTACTATGCAAATCTTGGTCATAATTATGAAGGGTTATGGACAGTCCTTCATTTTTAATATTTACTATCGGAATACAATAAGTCACGGACTATGCCGTTGAAGAAAGTACAATCAACAGATGTTTGAAAGTAAGTGAAATTTGCAAATGACTATTACATACTTGTGTCAGTCATTTTCCGAGGCATCCCTCGAGAGCGAATTGGAACGGTTGGGGCAGCACTCTTCTTTAGATTGTTTTGGGCATCAGCTGATTTCTGCAACAATTCTGCCCTCAAGGCAGCAGATTTGGGCTTCCTCTTCAGTGTAAAATGTTTTGTTGGAGCTGGTTGTTGACCAACCACACTCACTAGCGCAGACTTATTCAAGTAATGACATTCTAAAGGCAGCATTCCTAAATCATTTTGCTTCTTGACTGGAAGCAAAAGGAAACAAAATTTATTAAAAATGTTTCAGAATTGTAAATGAAAGTGTACAAATACCAGAAACCAGCTTGGTACAAAACCAAAAAATTAAACCATTTGTGTCAGTTTTTCCCTCCTTTTGCACTAGTCATCCCTTCAGATTTAAACGCCTCTGTTTACCTTCTTGTATTGTCTCGCAGTATTCCAATTTAAAAATTTAGGACAGACTAGGGATCAGATTGCTAAATTTCAATACAATGCCAGGATACACACCAGAACACACCTTAAATAGAAATATGTTACAGACATTCTGCGAGAACTCCCAATCAAGTACTGTGTGCGAACCCGACAAACACACACATCTCTGAGACATGAAATAACGGTAAGATCTTTCTCAGTCATGACACCTGGGAGATGTCAAGATATGGACAGGTTATATGTTTTCTCATATTTCCATCCCTCTGGATTTACATATGAACCTTTCATTATTAACGATTAAGAAGTTCCAGAAAATTTTATCACAAGTTGTACTCAAAGATAAAATGGAAGTATTAGGTAGGTGACATCTGCACTCCACCAGAACAAAAATTGAATATATTTTTTTTCTTCACCCAATCACTCACCACCAAAACTCACTGCTTTGATTCACCATCAGTAATTTCAAAAACAGTGTAGCAATAAAATTACATTTTGAAGTATGACATCATATATTTCATTGCACTAAGCCTGATAATGATACATGTCATTGAAGAATTTTGTTGTCTTGAAACTCATCTTGCTTCCTAATGCTTAAATCTATAAGAATTAAAATACATTTTTATTTTTCATTATTATTAGGTATATTTATATTATCTATCAAACATTACTTCTTTATTACACAAGATTTATCACAAAACGTATTTTAGAATACAAGCTGTTTACAAGCTCAAATTCTCTACAACAACAAAAATACATTAAACATTTTTAAGACAATAATTTTTCAAAATACAGGTGATTTAATTTAGTCAGTCGTCGTCGGACATTGCCTTTCATTCCTTCGGCCAGAGATTCGGCGCCATTAGATCCTGGGGTTCCCAGAAGGTCACCGAACCAGGAACTCGCGATGTCTCGAATTGCTTAATCTCCATGACTTCTTGAAGCCTAGTTAGTAGTTAATGAACTCTGTTAGTAATGCCGACGGAATTAATTTTCATAATTATAAATGCAATTTTTAGCAAGTGTTAGCATTCAATTACATTTATATCTTCAACTGTCAAAACTGCTGTTTCTCTTTTTTTAGAAAGAAAAGAAATAATCGCTTGAGAAACAGTAATAATATTAAAATATATGTAACATAAGTCACTGAACAAGCATTTTAAAGAAATATTAATACAAATTAATAAATACTGCTAATACAAAATTAAATGTTTAAACTGAACTGATATGCTGATCCATTTATTGATTTTTATTCCTGAAGAAATACTTATTTTACTCCAACGCAGTAATTCCCAAACTTCAATGAATAATATCATTCTTTACAGATTACTTACAGCCATGCAACTTACATTCACAGTTAACAATAATTTTATTGTGCGTTTATCAATGGATACATAAATTCAGCCCTGATCAGCTTTATGGAAGTTCACAGCTGTATGGAAAAGATTCATGAAAACTTAAGTAAGGAAATATCCAAATTGTTACTAATAAGTTGGGATTATATAATAATAATAATTATGATTATTATTATTAAGCTTCTTTTATACTATTCAAAATGTTTTTTTTTAAGATGAAGTAAGCAGATGGTCAAATATAAACATAAACCTATGTTTATATGAATTATTTTATTTCCCAAATCACTATACCCTTATTATACTGAAATTGTTAAATTAGCCCAATACAAAACAGGAGCCAATTTTTTATTTAATCTAAAGGCAATGAGTTATAAACACACAATAGTGTCTCTACACAGTGATTTTCTTCCTATTCGCAACTATTTTTTCAGGTATTTTACTTTTCTGAAATCACATTAAAATTTCTGTTTTTCATACATCAAATAGCACTTTCAGCTGTAATTTACACATTTTCTATCTGTTCCTGATATAAAAAGCAAACACAAATAACGTTTAAAAAATATTAAATAAATGATAAATAATCACCTAATTTTCTCAGGTCATTAACCAGATCAGAAAAGATTCGTCTGTTTTCATCAATAGATCCGATTTCAGTATTTAAGGAGCCTGTAGATGGAAATGTCTTCATGATTTCTGCCAACATTGACACCCACTGCTCACTGTCAACTTGGGCGACTTCCAAAATTTCTTCTAGTTCCACACACCACTGAAATTTAACAAGTGCAATTATACTTACTATTTCACTTCCAAATTGTTTTTGACAGCAATTACATTTTCACACTAAATCATAGAACAGTTTATAAAACCATTCATAACTACTCAAAATAGCTGCATCCAACACTACAACAGTACTTTTAGAAACTTTCAGATACATTTTAAAAACTGACTTCCCATTAATGTGCTTTAATAAACATAAATAAATTAATATTCTTTAGAAGATAACTAATTCGTCTAACTAATAATTCTATAGAAGATTGGAGTGTATATTCAATATTTCATCATACAAATGAGAAGTATGTATTTTCCACTCTTCCATTCAAATCACACGTTCATTGTGAAAAATCATTAATACAGAAACACATAACCTAACTTTTGAAACTGAAGATTTATGTAGGAAGAAGAAACTCATAAAAAAATAGCACATCCAAATAAATCAAATTTTCTCAAGAAAATTGTGAATTTTTTTATTGAAACACAGGGAATTAATAATACTTTCTGCCCCTTTTCATGACAATTACAACATTGTAAATAAATCTCTCACATTTATGCAAAGATCCAAATCGTTTCACTCATCTTAAAACGTAATACGTTCTAAAAGATATAAATTGAACGTTTTCTGCAAACCAATAAGCAGACATCTATTTACACAAACTTGTAGTAGTAGCAGTAGTAGCAGCGGCAGTAGACACAATATCACTGATACACTACACCAACTTCACGAAGACCTTTTCTGGTCTTAACAATTTTTCCCCTTCAACGCATTTATAAATAAACAAAACGCTCATATGCTGGGTACACATAAACATACTTCTTCAACGTTCCTTCGAGGTATGTGGAAGAAGGAAAGTAACAGTTTCAATTTCACTTGCGTTTGCAAGTCAGGAAAACAATCCTTAATATTTCTTAGCACTTCTCCATTAAGTTGGGAACAAATAGAACCTCCTGTCCACGAGTCATTTGACACTCCCAGTTTGTTGTGAAGCCACAACGACGTATCGCTGTCTCGTACATTCGCCATATTGAAGACTGTGGGCTAACTTTCTTCTTGAGATAGTCGAAACGATGCATGGAGCACTGATATTCATACACGTAAATCCAATCAAAAGCCTGGTAATTAGACACACGGCTCAAAATACTGTTCCAAAATACACTTCTCGAGTTTTCCCACGCCTGGCGTTTCCGCTAACAACAATCGCCATAGATGAAGTGATTCGCGAACGACCCGTTCTTTTGAGTTCTCGAAGAAAGAAACTTGATAGAAACGGTTCTTTCACGTTTGCGAATGATGTATATTACCATGTAAATGAAGTGTCAAGAGCCGTGTAAGGTTGACAACCGATCTGTTTGAAGAAATTGTTAATATTCCCTTTTTGAATTACTTCTTGATTCTCTTCGCATCTCTGAAGCTTACGACTTTGTATGTCAAAGAGAAAAATAAGTAACTTCAATGCCTATCACATTAGAAGACGCATTGGTAACTTCCTTTTCTTTGCAACGTTTTGGAACAACAATACTGGATAGTAGTATCATAGAATAAGTATTCTTCCACGGTAGTATCATTGGTCTTGTTCTATGGTAGTATCGCCTGACCAGTGGAGGCTGGTGCCCCAACGAACTGGGGGTGTCAGCTCCATGGAATAAAGGAAACGCAATTTCCAAAATTCAGAATACTAATTTGTATTATACAACGTAAGCAATTTATGTAAATTAATCAAAAATAAATTTTATCAAAGCCTCGTGCTTTCTCAGGATGTGCACCATTTACAATCTCAAGCTCATTTTCAACATTTTCTCTTTGGTCACGCTTTCCTATGCTTTAACGTTAGCCCGCTAGTATGCTTAGGCTATGGTCGACATTGAATGAATTATGTACGATGTTTGGGGATTTTATTATCATTTGATGTAGGGTTTGTTGATTCAAAATGTGCATTTGACGAGTCTTTTGAGTAAAGTTGGCTGTTCTTAAAAAAATCCTCTTTCCGTCGTCCGTCCGACTCTCTGTGAACAATATGCGGTTAAACCATGTTCAAGATTTTCTCCAAAATTGATATTCCCTGATAGATCTGACATAAAATTGCTGCCAATTTTTTTTATTATAATACTTTTCATCCCATAGAGCAAGGAACCTTTAGAAAACACCCCGGGGTAGGTGTATTTTTCTATCAAATTTTCTACATTTTCGAAAATTGCAAAAGTTGAATTTCTTTGTATTCATACATTCTTAATATTGAAGGTTGATGTCAATTTTGTTAATTAAATCTTGTACTTTAAAGTTCGACCAGTAAACAAGGTCAGTTACAATTGTTTCAAGATATCAGTGGTTTCAACGTTATTGTGGGTGAAATAAAGGCTATTATAAAAACAAACTTTTTTGAAAAGCGGCTCCAAATATTTGTTTAAAAACATATTGATGAATAGAGCTAAATGCACTGAATATCGTGACATACGCATTATTTTGATGTAACCATTTGAAAATAAATAAATAATAATAAAAAAATGTTCAAGAAGTACTTGTTTATCACATTACGTTACCGTTACAAATTATGCGTGAAAGTACGTGCTAATGTAAATCCTCTGTTACTTTCTCGCGTTATACTTAATAATAATAATTATTATTATTATACGTAGTACAGGTAATTTTATGTAATGCCGCTGCGAGAAACGGATATTTTTCGGCAGGAAAAGACGTGTTGTATGTCCCTAAAACCGAAAAAAATGGATAATTATTTTAAATTATTTCCTCTAACATATGTGGTCAGAATCTCCATTTTGTGGCCGTTGATACCGAAAAATTGCTTTAGAGTAAAACGTCTGTCCGTAAAGATCGCTAACTGTAGGTGTTATCGTGTAATATTTACGGAGCATAGAAAAAATGTTTTAATGCCGCGGCAAAAAAGGCGATTTTTCAACGGAAAAACTCATTTTTCTCCCTGACACACAAAATTGGATCATCCTTGCTCCTAAACATAGAAAATTAATGCCTCCAGACTAGTATTTGTGTAGTCAAAATCTTCGTTTTGTGGGTCCTTGATACCTAGAAACAGATTTCCCTTTCCCAAAAATTGATCTTGCCCGATCGATCTACCTGATGTCGCGGCCTCTAATTTGAAACGGATAATTTTGAGTCACGGGGTCTAAGGACATTTTCAAAATCTTCTCAAAAAATTGGCTCAAAAACTATTTTCCTCGGAAAGAGTAAAGTGCGTTGACAAAAATACTATAGACCCTATTTCAATTGAACAAGCAATCTGCAATTGCAAAAGTTACTTTTTTCGCATTGTCTATATACAATTACAATAAATTTAGGAATTTTTCTTAATGAGACACGTTCTTCCAAATTAGTTTTTTAGATAACTATTTGTACATTTTCTAATGTGAGTAGTTTCGCCTAATGTTACAATGACGGTAAATTGTCAGAAAGTATGTTCAATTGCAGCGTTTCTAGCTTATCGCACACGAAAGATGAATCGTGTCTTTTTGGGGACCCGAAAACTGGTTTTAAGGGCCTAGTATGCATCGTTTCTGAGATATAGACTACGATTAAGCGTTCTGCTGCGTTACACGAGAGACACTTTCCCTTAGTCGTATGTAGATATGGAGTAATGTACGTAGTATAGGGAAAGTTATCTTATACTGCGGGAAAACGATTTTGATATTTCAACAAAATTACACATTTTGGGGTCCCCTGATTCTGAAAAAGGTTTTTTTTAACGTCCGTCTATCTGTTCGTCTGCTCGTCTGAGAACACCACTAGCATCTAAACTATACGTAGGACTTTTTCCAAATTGAAGAAACCCCTGTCCATCTGCCTCGAGTCAAAGTTTTGAGATTAAAAAAAAAGATTCTTTAAATTTTAGAGATACTTTACATGAAGCCCCACGGACATTTTCAAAATGTTCTCAAAAACGGCTCCAAATTTTTGCTTTCAATTTCTTCTAAGTATTTACGAACACATGTGCTTCAAATAGTCATAAAATTACTCGAAAACTCCCGTTTTCTGTGCAAACTAGCTCAAACCCGCATTTTCAGAAAAGCTCAAACGCCAATTTATCAAAGACAGCTTTAATTTGTTTCTTCAAACTTTTCGAACGAATAGTGTTAAGTGCTTTAATATGACGTAAAGTTCATTTCGGGATATTTTTTAAAAATATTACACAAATGCAATTTTTTTGGTAGATTTCTCACGCCGTTAATATGCATATTTCCAACAATTTGTACACACTATTATATTTGTGAGTTAAAGTACTTCAAAAGATTTCAAATGAAATTTTTCGAAAACTCAAAAATTTTCTGTGAAAAGAGCTTCGAATTTAGACTTTACAGTAGCGCTTAAGCGTCATTTTCTTATAAACGGCTGCAAAATTTTCAAAGAAAATTGCAAGTTTCGACGAGGTTTTACTGTTCTTTAATATTCATAAAATAATATTTCCATTATTTTATTAGGAAACCCAAAAATTAAGAAAATGTGTGGAAAAATGTACTTTGGGCAGCGATAGATGGCAGCTGACAAGTTCGTATAGCTAGTCGAGACCAAAGGAAATAAAAACTAATACGGGAAAGTCTGTGCCATTCTGCAGACCAATGGTTTCGACACAAATCTGTTAGATCAGAAGTGAGAAATAGTTTCCTATTTAAAAGTAGTATACTTACGAGGTTTTGCGCCACTGGTTTCTTATAAATGATACAGAACCCTCATCTTCCCTTAGCAAATTGTGTTGATGGGATTACACCAAAGAACTAGTTCAATTACTTAAACGTTAGACAAGTTTGTGGTTTCTTTAAAATACTTTATCTGCAAATTAAAAATACTATCTTTCGTTTCCGTTTAATAGAAGGAAACTAGTAGTGCTACAGAATAGCACCATGGCAAAAAAAAAAAAGTTTTATGATAGTAGAACGGAAATATTATTTTAAGAATATTAAAGAGCAGTAAAATTTCGTCCAAATTGGAATTTTCATTGAAAAATTTGAAGCTGTTTTTAAGGAAATAGCGTTTAAGCGCTACAATAAATTCGAAATTTTAATCTCTTTTCACAGAAAATTATTGAGTTTTCGAAAAACTTCATTGAATTAATTTCAAGCACTTTCAGTCACACATGCTATAGTGTTTATAAATTGCCGGAAATGTGCAAATTAAAAGCGTCAGTGCAATTTAAGATTCATTTGTGAAATTTTTGAAAAAACAAAACTAAAATAAACAGCAAAACTAATTGTATGTCATCTGTAACAGTGCAATTAGCACTCTCCGTTGGAAAAGTGACGAAAAACTTTTCCATGATGAGCCATTTTTGAGAAAATATTTGGAGCCAAATTTGAGTTATTCTGAAACTGAAATTTTGAGTTCATTTTTACGGAAAAATGTTGAGTTTTCGAGAAATTTTATCTGATGTTATTTAAAGCACATGTGCTCATAATATATTAATGTAAAAAAGCAGTTAATGTAAATATTAACGACGTGAGAGATCAGTCAAAATATTACATTTTTGTAATTTAAAAAAACAACAACAAAAGAATAGACGAACATAACATTTGTTATCTTGTAAAGTGAATTTAGTACTATCCCTACCAAAAGTTCAAAGAAAAAAAATTTGGAATAGTTTTTGAAAAATCTTGTTTTCGTAATTTTTTAAAAATTGGCAATATTGCACGCAATATTGCTCGAAAACGACTAAAATTTTCAAAACAATGTACATGACATAATTGAAAGAACTAATTAAGGAGAACTTTATTTGAAGGTAAAATCTCTATCTTCAATTTTGTAGTTATAGGAAAATGCGGGAAAATTTCAAACTTTTGCAATTATCTAAATTTCAGAGTTAACAGTGAAAATCGGACTTATGCCACCATAAGTGTATTTTACTTTATTCGTACAAGAAATTTAAAAAAAATTGAAGCTGTTTTTGAGAAAATTTTGAAAATGTCTGGGGTGTTTCATGTTTTAAAGACAGTTTTTCATAATCGCGGCGCCTCGAGAGGAGCCAGATCGATCGGGGAATATCCATTTTGGAAAAACTCGCATGTATGGTATAGGCGCTAGTGGTGTTCACAGACTGACACGGACATATACTACGTATATTAATCCATATATACGTAGTATGCATACGCGAAAAGAAAAAGCGATGTAATGACAATTTTATAGATCTTGCTGGAGATATATCAAATTCACAGATTATGCAAATCAACAATGAACCGAAGCAACTGAACCATCCATTTCACTAACCGTACCGTTTCCAACAGCTCAAACAAGCATTTGTGGACGGAAGATCTGGAATTGAGCATAATTATCTCTTTGGTGTAGTAGTGGATAAGATGGAGTAAACATGTTTCAGGATGCAAAAAACACAGGTCACATCTAAATAACCCTGAGTAACCGGAAAGAGGAGGCGAGGTCGTTGGAGGCAGGGGAAGAGATAAGATGGCAGCTTCTCAAGGAGCTCTTGGAGGCCAGTTCACTGAAATCAGAAGTATTCAGCAGAAATGCGGAAGCGTAGCTCTTGCGGGAGGAAGCAGTATTCTTCAATTTTTTAAAAGTGGCCGATGACATTAGGTCATTGTTACACCTTCTACCTTATAAAATGAATCT